CCCCCTCTGCATGAGATGGAAATATGGCGAGGTGCTCTGCTTGCGTTTGCTCACAGCAGAACACCTGAGAGGAGCTTGAGTCTTGGAATCCTGCGACTCAGCTTTTCCTGTGTGCGCAGAGCACCGTTAATGGATTCCTACAGATGGCCATATAGAATATGTATGTATATATGTATGTATGTACATATATATGTATATATATGTATGTATATATGAAACATTGTTAACATTTAAAGTTGTTTTAACTGAGCAGATTTAAATTCCAACAGCAGTAACCACAAATTTATAGAACAAATTTAAAACGTGGCCTTCAATCCTGTTTAAACCTAATAATGAACGATCTATTATTTAGTGCTAGCGTCTAGACACATAGGTTTCTCAGAGCCAACAAGCATAGAGGAAGGTCTTTATAGCCTCTGGTTTCATGCTGCCCACCTCCTTGTGTACCCGCAGGTCACATTGCAAGGAATGTCTTCCTCTCTTCATTCACTACCACCCTTCCTGCGGGAGCTCCCTGTCAGCTACAGCTAGCTAGTGGTCTGCCAGGCTGTCATAACAAGATGGTAGACAGGGAGGCTGAAACACAGGCTAGAAATCCAAGATCAAGGTCTCCTTCCTTTAGTTTGCAGGTGTCTGTCTTTCCCCTGTGTATGTAGGTCTGCTCAATTAGCTTCGTGCCTCCCTCCCTCTCTTCCTCTCCACTCTCCCTCCCTCTTTCCATTCTTCCCTCTATCCATCCCTCTCTCCCACTCCATCTTCCCTCCCTCTATCCATCCCTCTCTGCCATCCTGTCCTACTCTCTCTTACTTTCCCTCACCCTTTCCTTCTTTTCCTCCTTCCTTCTTCCTCCCTTTTTTGCAAGGTCAGATTGGACTAGGTCCCTTCCAAATGACCTATTTTAAAACAGTCTCCCCTTTGAAGGCCCTGTGTCTGAGGCAGCCTCATTCTGAAGTCCTGAGGGTTACAGCTTCAACACATGAATGCATGCAGGTATAATGACAGTCCCCTTGCTTGCTCCTTCCTGAGGAGATCAGCTCTGCTCGTTCCCATGTCTGCTTTCCTCCAGTCCGCCTGGAATGCCTCAGCTAGTCATGGTCTTCTGTTTTTTTCCCTGGGCTCTTCCTCCTGTCATCTTTAGGCTCTCCTTGCTTCTCCTCTATTTCCTGGAAGTCAGCCTCCACCACAGGGGGTTACCTTAACCTTTCTTCACTGTTTTTCTTTGTCCATTCAGCACCTGAGTTGTTACCAACTAGGATTTCCTTGGGCACTTACCCTCTTCGTTTTCCTTGGGTATGTCCTCTGGAATGATGTGTGTGGCATGCTAGCCGCCAGCATCACCCAGCACTTTACTCTGGTCTTATCTGGAACTCATCTATCCTCCACCCTTGCACACAGTGACATTCTTTCTGCTCTCCGGGTCCTTCCAAGCCCCCTCTGTCACCCAGTTGTCATTAGAGGCGCATCGCTGGGGATAAGCCCTGGCCCCATCTCTCACTGCATTCTTCCCCCTCAGTCTTTGACTCAGCTTCCCAGCTCTCATTCTAACTGCAGCTTAAATCTGAAATCTTCACCTTCCAGCCTCCACCAGTGTTTCTCCAGGGCTCTGACCTTGGCTTCTAGAAGTTTGCAAACAGATCAATACTTTCATCCCTCAAGTTCTACTTGACCAGGCCAAACTATTCATCATTCACTCTCACATTCCATTTTCCTTTGCTACAGTTTTCCCCATGTTTCCAAGCAAGAAATCTCAAAGTACCTTTGTGGCTCCTCTTTTTGTTTAGTTCCCTAAATTCTTTTAAGGCTTCCTCTGTCCCCCATTCATCTTCTTTGTGTGGTCCTTCTATGTACCTTCCAAGAGGTGGCAGTATATTAACTGGATATCCTTGTCCCCTAAGAGTTGTGAAGACCAGCGGATGCTCAGACACAGTGTGGCAGCTAGTGTGAAAAGGTTCCTTGATCACTCAGGCCGAAGACCGAGCTCTCTGGCACACACAGCTACTGCTGTCCATCGGAAAGCTGGAAAGCTCTATAGCAATGGACATGTCCTGTGCTTACACAGTGTGGCAGCTACTAATCATGTATGGGTTATTAAGTACTGAAAATGAAACTTGTTCAATGGAGGAACTAGATACTTTTTCTTTAATTTAATTTGATACACTCGCTTCTTTCAACTACCTGTAATAATAGCCATCTCCTAGCCAACCTCTGCTGAACACCACCATACTTGAGACTACATCATCTATTGCTCTCCTGGTCCCAGGTCCATCTTCTTAGGCCTTGGGTCCACCATTCCCCAATGATGAGCTTCATGACCACATTCTCAACACACGCAATGTTCTCTCTTCTGCTGCATTTGAACAACTGGGTGTCATCTTATTCTTAGAACAATTTTAAAGACTTACTTGTTTTCATTTTATGTGTATGTGTGTCTGTCTACATGTACGTATGTATGTGTTCACGTGTGTGCCTTGTGCCGTTGAACCAAAAGAGATCATCAGATCACCTAGAACTGGAGTTACACATGGCTGGGAGCCACCATATAGGTGCTGGATACTGAACCTGGGTACTCTGTAAAATCATCATGAAGCCATCTCTCCAGCCCTTATATCTTACCTTTAGCCTCCTATTTAACTCTCATTTTGAAATGATTTCAGTCTTATAGGAAAAAATCGCAAGATTTAACACAAATAATTATTTTATACCCTTCAGATTCCTCAGATATTAACATCTCACTGCTTGCTTTTCCATACATTCTTTCTTCCTGGGTGTGAAGGTGGTAGCTTCTGGTCGAACCCAGGGCCTTGCCTTCACTAGGCAAGAGCTCTCCCCACTGAGCTATATGCCCAGCTGTTCTCTCTTCATTCTTCTCTCTACCCCTATATACATACATGCACAGACATACATATGTAATTATGCTTCTGAACAGCTTGAAAGAAAATTATACCCCTAAAACCGTAAACATTTAAGTAGTTTAGAGTTGATTTTTCCTAAAAACCAAATGTGTTCTATAAACCACATTATGATGGTCAAAATAGAAAAACATCAATAGAGTACTATCATCTAATTTATTGACTATATTCAAACACTCCCAGCTGTTGTAGAAGTATTCCTTATGGCAAAAGAGGGGGGAAAGCCTTCCTTGTGAATCACACAACCTAATGTTTAGGACCTTGCAACCCAAGTTTTAACATGTTTGGTTTTCTCTCCACTACCCTGCTTTCTAGTGTTTACTGAGCAGCACATAGTAGGCCCATAACAGGATAAGGATTACTTGTGGCAGCCAGGCAGAGGGGAAGCAGGCCTCTCTCCTGGACATAGCCACTAGGTCACAGTTGACAGCCCTGCAGTCTCAAGGTGTTTCTGTCAGGGCCTCTTCCTTTCAGTTGTCCTCTCAGAGACATCAGTTGGGTGGCAATACTGTCTCCTCTGTGGAACTACTCAGAGCTAGCCGAACACCTGATCTCGGAGCAGTTCACAGCCATGCCTGGCCCCAGTGCTGTCCCTCTATTCTGTAGTAGCCGAGTGACTCAATATCCACCTGCTCATTTATTCAGCAAGCAGTTATTGAGTGCCTACTGTGTGTCATGTGCGTTGGCTATATAACAGCGGACAGCAGCAAAATTACTCCACCTCAAAATACTGCACTTTGGTGGGAAAGGAAAGGCAGACAATAAAACAAGTGAAGATTTAGTTTACCATATGATAAGTACTAAGGAGGATAATAAATCAGGGTAAGAGCTATGAGTAGAGCTGCAGACTGTGCATGTGCATGCATGAGGACAGGATTTGCATAGGGCACTTATGGCAGATCTCCTTAGTGATGTGTCTCCGTCCTTTGAATTACAGTGAAATCTCTCTGCGTATCTTCTGTAGTGCATAGTTGTATGAGTTCTGAATAATCCAAGTAGTCATTTAATGACACTCCAGTCAAGATAGGTCTCTCTGTGCTGCTTGTCAATCCTTCCCCTAGCACCTTGGGGAGCCACTGATCTGTTCTCTGTTCTTACAGTATTACCTTCCTAGAGTATCTTATAAATAGGACTATACGGTAAAGAGCCTTTGAATCTGGCTTCCCTTAGCTAGGGAGAAAAACCATTTATCAACAATAAAAGAAAAGGAGGCCATGAACTTTGAGAGCAAAGGAAGGGTTTAAGTGGGGAGGGAAAGAGGGGAAAAGATATATCTTAATTTTAAAAAATGACCTGGAAGAAATATGAAATCAAGCCACGAGAAATAATGTAGATATTTCCAAATATGTGTCATATTTTTATTTAGCCAGATAAGTAGATTTGTGCTGTAAAAATGCTTGAGTCATTTTTCTTGTTGCGTTAAAGAAAGTAACATAGGAAAGAAAGATAGCAAGATGCTGTTCATTCGTTCACTCTTTTCTGAGGGTTGGAGCTTGCAATAGTGTCTAGGATCTCAGGCTTACTGGGAATGCACTGTGCCTGCCCAGGCTGCCTTCGAACTTGTGTGAAGGTATTTTTACCTCAGCCACCCAGGGGCTGAGATTACAGGCATGAGTCACCACTCCTAGCTTCCATTCATCAAATGTTTGGTTTGGGGACTTTTGTTTTGTTTTAGTTTGGTTTTTAAGAAACAACTACCAGTCACAGTCTGTGACCCAAAGGAAGCCTGAGACCCTTGGATCCATACCAAGGCTAATTTTAGTTGCTTTATCTGACATAATTTCCTTTCGGCATTTCCTGAAAGTTTGGGTGAGCATGTAGTCAGTGAGTTTTTGGTTGTCATCTTTAAAAAGGACTGTGAGGGGCATTTTGAGAGCTTCTATCCTGCTGCTTCTAGGGGTCCCTAGAGAGGCCCTTGAGAGCTGACATTCACTGGATCATAAGATTGTATCAGGGCAAGGAGATCCATGGGAAGATAGAGTAGAATAAGTAGATGAGGCCAGCAGGCAGCACCCTCCCAGGACCTACGAGCTTTCTGGGAAAACAGAACTGGCTTCCTAACCTCGTAACTTGTATACTTCTTTGTTTCAGGTGATGCAACTGTCAAAAAGAAACCTGCCCCCAAGACACCTACAAAAGCAGGTAATAGCCACAGTCCTACCTGAGAACAAGGGAGTCATCTGCCACAGGGCCTTTCCTGCCTTCTGACCGACCATATGTGGGTAGTGGGCAGGAGACCCTTCCTTCATTCAAGCTCCACACTTTGGGCTGCCTCTTCCTCCCCCGGGGAGCCTATGCCCAGCTGGTACCTCACCCACACCCCTCTCCTGCTTCCTTCCTCTGCCTCCATGTACGTGTGCTGTGTCACAGGCTGCTGTGGGCTTTTCTGTTCCCTCTGCAAAGTCATGCCTCAGCCTCAGCTCCCCACTCTACCCTACATGGCGGGGGCCCACATCATGCTGCTTTTAGGCCTTACTCTGTATGTCCTTGTTTTCTGGAGTTGTTTGTTGTCTCTGGGGAGGCATTCATAGGCGCAGACCAAGTTGAGCCTGTCAGCCAGGGTGACTAAAAGGTTAGACACAAGGTAATGCTAAATTAAGAAATAATCTGAGACAGGGATTCTGATCATTACGGGGAGACACAAATGCCCCCAAAGCCAATCTGTGAAAAAGGTTTGTTGTGTAAATTGTATGGGTCACTTCTGGGGACTCTAAAGAGTGAACAAGGCGAGCAGGTCCCTACACACATTCTTATCTTGAAGATTACAGAGGGGAGGAGAGGCACCAGTAGGGCAACATGGCCCACAGTACCAGTGAGATCAGCATGTCTAAGGCCCCCTCCTCACATTCTACTTGTCTCCTCCTAGCTATGCCCCCTCAAATCATCCAGTTCCCTGAGGACCAGAAGGTACGCGCAGGAGAGCCTGTGGAGCTGTTTGGGAAAGTGGCTGGTACCCAGCCCATCACCTGCACATGGATGAAGTTTCGAAAGCAGGTCAGTCATGGCAACAGGGTGGCCTAAAGGACAACCTACAGCCCCTGGGCCAAAAAGATGGGGAATACTGTGGTGGACAGAGGGAACTGCTCTTCTTCACTGCAGAAATGGCAGCATGCACTGGGCATGGTGCTGCATACCTGGAATCCCAACACTTGGAAGGCCGAGGCAGGAGAACTGCCAGATCAAGGACAGACCAGCCAACCTTACAGGCTCCGGTCCAAATAAAACACAAAGGCCCAGGGGTACCACGTAGTGGCAGAGCCTGGTTACTAGAAAAAAAAATAACTAAAAAAGAAAGAAAGAAATGGGAGAGGTAACCTATCCAACAGAGTTCTTACTAACCTTTTCTTCTGTGTCTACCAATAAACCCTGATTTTAGAGACAATTTGTTTAATAAAATCACCCCTTGCTTCATCTGAGTCCATCTGCCTAGAATTCTCTTTGGAGGCCTTGGGTATATAAATTATATATTAAATAGAATTTTGGCTGAATGACCCAGAAGTATAACTACAATTTATAATAATACTCCCTATGAAAACATTTGAATTTTCAGATAACCTGCTTGTAGAGAAATTTGGAGGCCCCAGCTCTTCACTGCTCACACTGGTAATGCTGGTCTGGTTCAGCATTAGGAAACCATTAGAACCATGGTTCTCAACCTGTAGGTCATGACTCCTTTGGGGTTGAATGACCCTTTCACAAGGGTCATGACCTAAGACCATTGGAAAATACATATATTTACATTATGATTCATAACAGTAGCAAAATTACAGTTGTGAAGGAGCGTGGAAAATAAGTTTATGGTTGGGGGTCACCTCAACATGAGAAACTGTATTAAAGGGTCGCAGCGTTAGGAAAGTTGAGAACCACAATTATAGATGGTATGAAGAGTCTTTGTAAGCCACCTCACCGTTTCCATGCCATGCAGATTGTAATAGGTCAAGAGATGATCCGCTAATACCTGGGAGGAAAACAGAGCTGGTTCCAAGGGAGATGGGGAAGAAAATATGGCCCTGCCTTTTCTAGATTGATGGATGAGGTTCCACCTCATCCCTTTCAGTATGAAACTTACTGCAGTTATGAAACCTTTTTGCACCTGTGCTATCCAGCGTGGTAGCCTCTGGCCCTGTGTGCTGAACGCGTGGGATGTGGCTAACACAGTTGAGGAATGTCTTCGACTGTCCTGTTGCGTTTAACTGGGGCCTTGGTCACGTCTCAGAAAGTTAGTCTAAGGCCACTGTTCTGGGGAGCACGGCGGCAGGCAGACAGGCCCGGCACTCCAGCAGTAGCTGAGAGTTTACATCCTGATCCACAGCAAGCAGGCAGAGAGAGACTGGGGCTGGCACTGGCTTTTGAGACCTCAGAGGTGACCCCAGCGACGCACCTCCTCCAATAACATCGCACTAACTAGGAAACAAACCTTCAAACATATGAGCCTGTGGGGGCCACTCTCATTCAAACCACCATGAGGAGCTACAGTTTTTTTTCAGTACTAAGGTTTGAATTTCGGATTTAGGCCCCATGTATGCTAAGCAAGTGCTCTACCATTAAGCTACAGCTCCAGGCTTCTTTTTACTTTTTGAGGTAGGCTGGCCTTGAACTTGTGAACCACCTGACTCCTGAGCAGCTGAGATACAAGCCTGTACCACTATGTCTGGCTAAATTTTTAGCTTTCATTGGTTAAAAATTGCTACATACAACTCAATGATGTTGATTGATACACAAGATTTTATAAGCATTAGAATTCCTCCCTCTAGAGGACTTTGCAGCCAGTCCTGAAGATACCTGATAAACCAGGGTCAGATGAAAGGGGAGGAAGTCCTCCCTGATCAGTGGACTTGGAAAGGGGCAGGGAGGAGATAAGGGAGGGAGGGTGGGATTGGGAGGGAATGAGGGAGCAGGATACAGCAGGGATACAAAGTTAACAAACTGTAACTAATATTAAAAAAAAAAAGAATAATCCCTCACTCTAAAAACTAGTATCATTTCTCACCTCCTCCAGCGTCTGCCACTACTATTTTTGGATTTGCCTATTCTGCACATTTCAGATAGATGGAATCATGCAGTCTATAACATCACCTTTGGTCTCTGGATGTGTTTTTGGTTTTTTGTTTTGTTTTTCTTTTTCTTTCTTTCTTTTTTTTTTTTTTTGGTTTGGTTTGGTTTGATATATTGTTCTAGGGCTCATCCATGTTGTAGCATGAATCAGCACCCTATTTCTGTGTGTGTGTGAGAGAGAGAATGTGAGCCATAGGACAACTTCAGGTGTCATCCTGTCACCCCAAGGCAAGCCATCTACCTCCATTGAGACAAGGCGTCTTGTCATGGAGTTTACCAGTTATGCTAGACTGGCTGTAATTCCCGGCATCCTCCTGCCTCTGCTCCCCCAGCAGTGGCATTACAAGTATGCACCACTGCACCTGACAAGAGGGAACAGCCCCGCTCCCTCCCTCCTGTCCCGTCCATCCCTGAGAGCTGAGCTTGGGGAGCCCCTGTTCTCACTCCTGCTTCTCCCCGCAGATCCAGGAGAGCGAGCACATCAAGGTGGAGAACAGTGAGAGTGGCAGCAAGCTCACCATCCTGGCAGCGCGCCAGGAGCACTGTGGCTGCTACACGTTGGTGGTGGAAAACAAGCTGGGCAACAGGCAGGCCCAAGTCAACCTCACGGTGGTGGGTGAGTCTAGGAAACGCTAAGCGGGGAGAGTGGGGAAGCAAAATGCACCAACCCCAGGACCTCAGCACCTCCCTCTCTGCTTCCTAGTTCCCCTGCCTTCTCTGCCCTTTACTCTCACACAGCCTCCTGCAAACTGATTCAGGACTCCATAGCCCCCTCTACTTCACACCCCTAGCGTCTTCCTCTCCCTGAGCCCCTCCTTGTTTTTCTGCCTTCCTGGCCAGTGGATATCCTGAGCTCTCCCATTGCAGGTCTTCCTGTTGGCATGTTAATGTCCTCTGCCTCATGCCCACCGCTGCCTGACTCACCATGGTCAAGGCATGCTGAAACACCATGGTCAAGGCAACTTATAGAAGGAGGGGTTTATTTGGGGCTTGTGGTTCTAGAGGGATAAGAAAGTCCATCACCAACATGATGGGGAGACTGGCAGCAGACAGCCATGGCACAGGAGCAGCAGATGAAAGCTCACATCTCAACCCACAAACAAACAGCAGAGAGGGCTACCTTTTAGTGGCTGCGTCTTTTGAAACTTCAAAGCCCAGCTCCTGTGACATACTTTCTCTAGCAAGTCCACACCTCCGAATTATCCTCAAACAGCCACCAAATGGGGACCAAGTATTCAAATATCTAAGACTTCTTGGGGATATCTGATTCAAACCACTATACCCTACAAATTCCCACCTGGGTTCAATGCCACATCCACTTACTTTAGGACACTGGATCATGAATTCTGCATCCTCTGTATGCTGCAAGCTGTGCTCTGGTGCCCCTAGGCTAGCTGAGATATCAGTGCCCCTCAGAACTTTCTGTCCTTATCTGGATGGCCAGTGCTATTTCTTGAGACACGCTCCCCATCCCCATGGCCCTTAGGCCTCTAGCTTCACTGAGAACTATTAGACATGAGGCAAGACTTTTCTGAACTTGGTGCCCCTTGCACCTCCAGATATCATATATCATGCCATTCATGGATCCCCTTTGCCTTTGCAGGGGCTCTGTCCCTGTGCTCTGTTCCCGGGCTCTTTGGGCTCCAACATCCTGAGTTCACTCAGCTTTTCATCCTCTGCTTGCTCCTCACAGCAGCAACGGAAATTGCTGTCTTAGCCAAATGCATAGACATTGCCCTCCTGTGGTGATTTGTCCTCCTGCAGTGCTCTGCTTTTTGCCCTCTAACCCCTGCCAGGAAAACGCTGTGGCAGAGCAGTCTCTACTCCTGAAGCTGCCTACCCATTGCTTCCATGTTGGCTTGGCCTGCAGAGATTGTTCTTCTAAAGTCACTATGATGCCTAACCCTAACTCCTTTCCCTCTGACTACTCAAGTTGAACCCATATTTACACTGAGCCTCAAGGTGGCATGTCCCCTCTCTCCTAGTACTTCCTATGGCCAGCCTATCTTCTGACACATCTCAGTTGCTTTCTAAGTGGTTTCCTCCCTTGGTCATGGTGCCCCATGTGGCAAGTGCTGAGTAGAGCAGAGGGACAAACAGAGGGCAGCTAGGGGGATAGTAGGTTGTCTTTTGTGCTTGTGTGGACCCCCACATGTGGGGTGCATGAAAATCTTTGGCCTGGTATTAGACTGTATTGGCCTGTACGTTAGACTTCAGCAGGTTTTCCAGTCAATTCTGACTCTCAAGCTTAAAGAATTTCCTTCCCAAAAGTTAAAAGGGGGGGGGGCTCCTTTGGGTTCGGTGTGGAGACTATACCCTAACTTCACAGCAGGGCTCCCAGCCTTGCTTTGAACCTCCAGAAGAACTTTAGAGAAGGATCCATGGGCCACAGTACTTAGAACTCCTCCCCAGGACCCTAGCTATGGAACTTTCCAGAGATGAAGGATGCAGTCAGAGGTGACTCTTAGAAGCTGTCACTCTGTGGTCCCTGACTTTGGTCCCAGTTTTTCTCTTCCATCTTTATCTCATAGCCTCACCTTAAGCCCAAGATGGATAGGTATGTTTTCAGCCTTACAGAAGAAAAGCTAGGAGAACTACTAATGCCTGCCCTCCCGTGTGCCCATGGGCCCGCGGATGGGTGACAAGGGAAGAGTATGCCCGAGACACGGAAACCTCTAGCTGGGAAGCTCATCTTGGTGATCTGCAGTCTGTTTGGAAAGCTGCCACATGCGAGGGAGTTAACTGTTGACTGTCTCCCCCACCCCTCAATTTCTCACCATGAGCCTTGGGGATCCTCTGCAGCTTCTCTCTCAGGGCCCTAAGCAGTAGACAAGAGTGAGTTCTTGGAGGGGAGTCAAGATCACAGAGCATCTGTGCACACTCGCACTGTGATCTCCATCTCTCTGCCTCGCTCTTGTCGTTTCCTTCTCCCTGTCTGTGTCTTCACCCAGAGCCCATCATTCTGGCTCACATCCCTTCTTCCTTTCATCTTCCTCTGACCCTTTCCTTTGGATCCTTGGATCAGGGATCTGGGAAGTATATGTACCAAAAGATCAGGGAATGAATTTCTCGTCTAAAGGGGAACATAGTCCAGCCTCTTACTCTCATTGGTGACTGTAGGTGTTGATTTTTATAATTCCCCAAGGAGTCAGGAACTTTGGGGGCACTGGTACTGGCGATCCAACTTGCTGTCCATGTAGACCTGTACATGAAAGAATTGATCACCCACCTCGCAGCCCACTGCCACCACAGACATCACCACCCACCCTTCCTCAGTGTTTCCCAACCATCCGCCCCTGCTCAGCAACTTTGAACAGTTTCTCTGGAACCAGTGCCCCCTACCCCCACCAGGGCCACCCCCGTGCGATGCCACACTCCCCTCCCCCAGCCCCACGGCCGGAGCTGCAGTTCTGGCCTTTTATGGTTGAGTTTCTTATTCTCCATGGCCAGTGCTGACAGGGCCATCGCTGTGGCTGCCTGCCAGCTGGCAGGGGCAACATGTTAAATGCCGTCCTAGGAGGGGAATGGAATGGAGAGCAGGCTTTCTGTCTGCCTCCCCCACCCCACAGCTAAGAATAGAACCGCTCAATAAAATGAGGACTTGTATTGATGGCTGGAGCAAAGCTACATTCATTCAGAGCCCCTGAATTTAGACTTAGGACAAAGCAAACCAGGATTAAGCTGATTTACCTGTGTGTCTCCAGGGACATCTGCATATTATCTGACAGGGGTTTATTAAGGAGATGTAAAACAGAGATTGTTCCACCTACTCCAGACAATTTTCAAGTACTTGAAAAGCATCCACTTGACGGGCCAACTAAATAAGGCCAGTTAAATTCAATTTGTACTTGTTGGCTGCCAAAATCTCTCGTGGCATATTCTTTAAGAAGCTGGGTTTTTTTCCCCCAAGATCATCTTTTGAGTCATATTTTCAAATCAACAAAACTAGCCCTTCCCCAAGTTAGCTTAAGTAAGGGATACTTGGCTATTTCTGAGGCCAATTATTATTATATTTTAAGAAGCAGTTTAAGAATTAGCAGTGCTGCCTGGTCTGGGCCTGTGCCTGAACCACTGTGTGGCCTGGGAGCGGGAGGAGGAGGAGTGGTAGGTGCAGATGAATTCTTTAATGTCACTTATCCAACACAAGAAAAACAGGCCTCCACCTAACCCTAAAGTAGAAAAAACAAGGCAGAGAAAACCCAAACACCCAACCTACACCAAATGCCTTCTGAGTTTAAAGCTAGTGTGACTTGAAAAGGTGGAAGACACTCCTGAGAGATGCTTGGCTCACCAGTGTAAGCAAGTGACTCTCTTGATATCATTCTGCATGATAACCTAGAGAGGACCAGACCCTGTCTGGGTGCACAGTGTTGAGGGGCTCTCCCAGAGCTTTGCTGCTGACCAGTGAGTGTCCTGGTTTGCTGGGATAACAGGCCCTGACCAAAATCAACCTAGCCGGGAAAGGGCTTGTTTGGCTTATAATTCTGGCTTACAGTCCATCATTCCAGGGCAGTTTAGGCTGGAACTCCAGCAGCTAGTCACTTCACATCCTCGGTCAAGAGCAAAGAGACTAAGTGCATCTTTGTGTGCTCCCTTGCTCTCGTCTGGTTCTTCCCCTAATGCTGTTCAGGACACCTTGCCTAGGGAATCTAGCCATCCATAAGGTCCTGAGTCTTCCTGCATCAACTAGCAGTCAAGACATTCCCCATAGACATGCCCACAGGCCAACCTGCTCTGTATAATTCCTTGTTAAGACTTCCTTCCCAGCTGATTCATGGTTGGGTCAGACTGACCTAACTGGCAAGGTGAATGCAGCCTCAGCCTCTGAGAATCCCTTTCCAAGATTGTGCTGCAAGTTAGGCAAGCCACTGTTGAATTCAGGATTTGTGGATGACATCTAGGTGGGCTTAGAGGAGCACAGACAGCCCTCATGTGGGCAAACACAAAGAGGGCAAAGGAAAGCTTGGCTAATGCAAAGCCTCGCGGACAAGGTCCTCTGGTTTCCCAAGAATAGGAACCCTCCACCGGGTACAGAATCCTGCAGCTGGAGTTATGAGGAACCTTTCCCCTGCAAGGGTTTCCCATCCTGTCAGTCGTGTCTCCAGGGAGCCCTGGGAGAATTCTGAGGAAGCGTGGGTCTAGCTGCATATAGCAAAACAGTCTCTTGTTTGCCAGATGCTGCCCAGGCTGAATGTGTCTGTCTTTAGCAAAGAAACTCATGGGAGAACCCTGGTCCTATCCAAGGGTCCATCAGACACAGCCCATGGCTCTGTGGACATGCAGGGACTGGGGGTGGCAACTTTCGTTTGGGAATGCAAGCTTCTTTCCCCACATTTTGCACCTTTTCTTGTGCTGCCTGAGGGAAACCCCACCACATGTAAATTAGAGGTGCCTACACCAGGGTAGGTGTACATAGCAACTGTTCGGCAATGTTGATCTCTCCAAGCTGCTTTTTCTAAAGCAAAGCAGAAAGGAGGAAATCAGCCAATGGCCAGGGTCTTCACTTGCATAAACCTCCATGACTAAGTCTGCCAGGAAGTCTGGGGTGGGGACAGTAAGGACTTTTCATCCCCCAGCAGGCTCTTTTATACTTCCTTAGCTGGTTTCCAGAGGAAACCAGAGGACTTGAGGCACTTGCCTCTAAGAGGATTTAGAATAATAAACATCTTTGCCAACACCAGCGATGTTTCTAAAAAGACCAATATATCCTTCAGAACAAACAGATTTTCTAAGAGAACATCTTAAACAACCAGTGGAGGTGGCTCCATTGCAGGAGGCCTCCAGCATGGCTAAGGAGCTGGGAAATGGTCCTGACAGGACTTAAACAACCAGTGGAAATGGCTTGTGGAAGGCTGCCAGGGTCGCTGTGATGCTGGCTACAGTGATGGAAGGTGGCTAGGACGTGATCCCAGAGCCACTCTTAAAGCAGAGGCAGCCTTTGGGTTCTGGGCACAAACGAATCCCAGGCAGCAAATATTAAGCTAGAATATCAAAGAAGGAGATCCAGGATTGGGGATGGAGCTCAGTTGGTAGAGTTCCTGTCTAGCATGCGTTAAACCTTGAGTTCTAGCCCACCACTACATAACCAGGTGTCCTGGCACGTGCCTATAGCCCAAGTACTCCGAAAGTGGAGTGAGGAGGGTCGGAAGTTCAGGATCGTCCTTGACTAGGCAATGAGTTCCAGGCCCACGTGGATGGATGAGCTCCTGTTTAAAAATTAAATAAATACAAAGAGACAGGGGGGGTGGGCAAAGGATTAAAATAAAAGAGGGGTGAAAGGAACGTGTGTGTACATATGAATATGTTCTTTTAAATTTGTATACGTAACCCTCACGTGTGTGCGCCCACACACAGGCACACACAGGTTTCTTCACAGGGTTATAGTCACTTTTCAGAATCCCTCTGGCCTTCTTCTCTGGCTGGACTTGAGTGTGGAAACAGAAGTTAGGGATTTACCTGTCAGTGCTTACTCGGTACTTGCAAAAATACTAAGAGGCACATGTTGACACCATTTTCCCAGTAAGAAAGACAAACAAACTGGCCTTAAATTTACTAGCATTAAGATACAAATCCATATAACATTGCTATTTAATTGCTATTTCATGGAGGAACTCAAACTTGGTTGGTTGAGAATGAAGGGTTTTCTATAACTAGAAACTGTAACCTCCCGTTCGGTTAATTACAGAACTAACTGCAGACACTAATCAGAAAAATCCAAGTTTTGTTCAGATAAGCAACTAAGAGCACACAGGGAATCTTGGGGACTTTGTTAAACTGTTGGCTCCATGATTTGGCCTAAGCCAAGGTCTTAGCTGGTTCAGACCATGGTCATCTGAGAGGGAAGGCAAACAGCCAAAAGGGCCACTTCTCTTTTGTGTCTTCAGTCCATTTTCTATCTCTTAGTCAGGGACAGGAATGATTTACAGTTCTTTGTCCCATTGCGTACCAGCCCATGAAGGTTGAACATGTGGGTTAAGGGTTGTTGCCTGGTGGCAAAGCATGTCTTTGGCATGTGTGGTATTCTGCAGCACCAAAACCTAAAACAGCAACAAAGAAGTAATGCAGTGTTGTTTTTTAATCCTCTATAAGGTTAGAAATAAGTTTCCTAAGTAGTAACACCAGTTGGTCACGTTGGCTATCTTTTAAGTATGCCTCACAGCACTCCTGTGAGGAGGAGGCACAAAGCATCTGATAACTCCAGAGTGGGGACAGATCTGTGTTCAAAGCCAGATCTACCTGATTTAAGAGCTTATCTGCTGCGCTATCAAGCCCCTTAATGGGACAGGCACTTCCCAAGTTCCAGAGAAAGTGGTGTCACAGGTCACTGGCTTTGAGCCTGAAAGACACATGACAACCCACACACACACACACACACACACACACACACACACACACACACACAAAACTTTCTCTCAAAATATATTTCATGGGAAATAGTCCACAACTCCTACACAGCTTCCTAGATCTGTTTGCTCTGAAAAAAAAAAAAATGTGCTTATGACTTGGACAAAGTACAGGAAACCATGACTTGTGGTCTGAACAGCTAACCAAAGATAGATTTTCTTTCAAGCAAGAAGGTAAATATGGGATTTTCAGTACCAGTAGGTTTATGCATTGCTACTCCAGTGGTGCACGAAAGGATGAGAGCAAGACACTCTCATTCACTTCAGTTCACTACCCAGCTTCTCCTCATGGTAGAGCTAATTCAAGGATGCTGTCAGTTTGAGGCTGGTTGATGCAGGGGTGTGTATGAGAGAGAAGAGTCTTGGATTTCATTCCCAGCATGGGGATTGCGAGAGGTTCTTTCTCTATAGATCTATAGAATTTGAGTGACATTGAGCTTCTTCATCCCCAGATAAGCCAGACCCCCCAGCGGGCACACCTTGTGCTTCTGACATACGGAGTTCCTCACTGACGCTGTCCTGGTACGGCTCTTCGTATGACGGAGGCAGCGCTGTACAGTCCTACAATGTTGAGATCTGGGACACGGAGGACAAGATGTGGAAGGAACTAGCCACATGCCGCAGCACCTCCTTTAACGTCCAAGACCTGCTGCCCGACCGCGAGTATAAGTTCCGGGTACGCGCAGTCAACGTCTATGGAACCAGCGAGCCAAGCCAGGAGTCTGAGCTCACAGCCGTGGGAGAGAAACCTGAGGGTAGGCTGCCTTCATTTCTCCGTGGGCCTGAAGTAGATATGCATGACTCTGGACAGAGGTCACAGAGGGACGGAGGTTCAGAGAGACTGTATGTAGAGAGGTGGCGGGCAGTACCCTTGCTGATCTTGATTTTTAAGACTGTGTTGCTGAAGTTCATAGGGCCTCCCAAAAACTCATTAGCCGGGGCACTGAGGATGTAGTTTAGTGGCAGAATACTTTCTTAGGGTATGGAAAGGGGCTGTGTTCCATCACTGATATCACACTCAATGAAAACATCGTGCCAGAAATTTTGTTACCCTGCCCCCCAGAGGGTGATGACCTGTTAATCAGCAGGCAGCCTGTCAGGTAGGCCTCAGACTCCTGTGTTCACCTCTCCTCTCCTTCCTGCTTCTGTTGCCCTCACAGGTGAGTGTCTGCTCACTGCCAGGATTCAGAACACAGGAAAGATGAGGAACTTGAGTTGAAGGAGGAATACACAGACAGCTACAGTGAAACAGAATGCATCTCTCTAGGATGATGTAAATAAAGAGAAGAAAGGACAACACAGTAAGAAAGGAAAAATTTTCCAGAGAGACTGGAAAGCTTCCCAGAGGAGGTGACATTTAAGCTGTGTCTTGGAAAGAGACTGGTACACTGAGATGCAGGGGAAATAAGGAAGGGCATTTCACACAGAGGACACAGCCTGGGCAAGGGTAGGAAGGGACAGAAACAGGTGGCATTTGAGATACTTAAGTGTAGCTAGGGCATATTTCATGTGAGATAGAACAGAAGGAAGTAAAGTGAAAATGGTACTTTAGACAAAATTACAGTGAGAGAGTGAGATGGTGTGGTTGGTCTTTTAGAAAGAAACTCTTCATGAGTCAAGTTTTGCTGCATGAATATGGCAGCCTTGTATATGCCTCGCATCCCCAGGCTTCCTGAAGCTTCATTTCATCATGATTTGCTCCTGACAGCATTTTTTTTTTTATACCCGTGGACATTTGAGAATCGTTGGGCTTGATGATGGATTAGAAGGATGAGTTTGGAGTCAGCCCAGTACCAGATGAACCTCCATGACCGTAGCCTATTGGAGGGAAGGGAAGAGCACAAACTAAAGCCTCACAGTATAGAGTGGACCATTCTTGATGATTTGGGGATGAAGGGGTTAGAGAGAGCTGAGAGGGTTCTAATGTGGCTTCCTAGTTCCTGGCTTGGATAACTAAGCACACATTCAAGAGACAATTAGAGGTCCATTATCTTGAGTCATGTGGCTAATGCTAGCCATTGAGCACCTGCCATATGCTAACAGCATCCTCATCACTTTGTGTTCTGAGTTTCACTCAGTCCTGGTAGCTCGGCGAGACAGGTATTGCCACTGCCCTCCTCTGACAGAAGGGAAATGGGGATAAAGGGGTGGGACTTCTTGCCTAAGGTCAGAGAGCTTTCAAGTGGTGAGTAGACACTTTAGCACAGAGCTGTGTAGCCCAGAGCTTGTTCTCAGATTGCTCAGATTGAGGGAAGATGTTAGTTAGGCCATCTTCCCTCTGGTTTGAGGAGCTTGAAAGTTAGATAACACGGAGTCTGGGAGAAGATGAGGGTTTGGGGTTCAGACTAGCTTAGTAGAGGTATCTGAGGGATACCGAAAGGGAAGAGTCTTGAGGCCACTGAATCCCAACCTTGGAAGGAAGAATCAAACAAGGGCTATGGATTTGGAAAGCTTCCCTGTTTAATGGACAACGAAATAACATCAGCAAGTTCACCCAGAGGTTAGAGGAGGACGACACTAATGCCACAGTGTGAAAGCTCATGAGACTAAAAGGGCTGTGACAAATCAGGAGCCCATTGTGGAGGTGGGGAGGGAACAAGCTGTAAATGAACTGAGTCAGATGCTAAAGAGACAGGGATTCAGGGTCATTGGAATCGCCTGTTGTTTGGTAGAGATCTTTGAATAAAAGTCCATAGAGTTTCCACGGGGTGGAAAGATGATTGCCCTGGTAAGGGAATGAATGGGAAAGGCCGGAAGTATGAGGTGCTATGCTGAGTTTTATTCACACAGAGAAAAGCTGTGGATTTAAGACAGAGAAGGTGGAGAATAGAAGGGACAGTGCTCTTGGGGGAGATGTTAAGGGTGGTGTCTAACAGACAGCACTGTGGGACAGGAAAGTATCAAAGGAGACAGGGAGAGAGCCATCCTGGAAGCACCATGTAGCCCGGGACACCCCGAGCATGAAACTGTCATTATAACCTTCCAAGGTCCAAAATCAGGTATAAAATTCGATGAAGGCTCCAGAGGAGGGAAGCAGATGCTAGCGGAAAACACTCCAACTTCATGCTGTCTGTCACCCAGCCCGTTGCATGCTGGACATCTTCACTTATTCTTTTTATACGTATCTTTTCATTAATTAATTGATTTATTTACTCTGCATCCCAGTAGGAAGTTCCCCTCCCTCCTCTCCTCCCAGGCCCCCTTCTTACTTCCCCTTCCCTCCTCCCGTACCCATCTCCCTTTCTTGCCAGAGAAGAGAAGAACTCTCAAGGGTATCAACCCGCCTTGGCTCCCCACTCTTTCCATATCTATTCAATGTAGTACTTGAAGTTCTAGCTAGAGATAGACAACTAAAGGAGATCAAGGGGATACAAATCGGAAAGGAAGAAGTCAAAGTATCACTATTCACAGATATGATTGTATGCGTAAGTGACCCCCAAAATTCTACCAGAGAATACCTTCACTTCTTAACTTTTGGGATATACACAGGCACAGTTGCCACAGAGGAAGCTGGCCTGGGCCCTGGCTCATGGCAGCTTTCTCAGGATCCCTCCATACTGGCTGCTTTCAAATGTATGCTGGGAAACTGAGTAACAAAGTCAGCATCTGCTGCCCTCTTAACACTCCAACACACACACACACACACACACACACACACACACACACACCATCCTTCTTCACTGGACAACTTAGGAGAGCAGGCTGATAGGGTGAGGCAGGAGTATCTTTAGGATGCTATTTAGGGAGTGACAGGTAAAGAGAAAACATGTTCATTGGCTGGACTAGAAGTCATCCAGGCCCTGCTGTAGAAACCAGAAGCGACCAGAATCCCTGATCAACACAGAAGCTGGATGGAGGTGAGGCAGGGCTTTTAGGAGGCCAGAACTGCAGCACCCAGGACTGTGGGGAGTGCCGTGCTGGTGGGCAGTGGCCTTGCCCTTGAACTCCACAGCAGGCAGTCTGTGTAGCCTCCAGAGCCCTCCCCACTGTTGCAGACACACAGAAGTGGGGAAAATGCCTGGAACCCAAAGGAAGGGACTGGGCCACCCAGGGCTTCTAGACAGGAAGCTACTCCTACTCCAGGCCCAGGTGTCTTATCCAAGAGAGAGGAGGAGGGGAAGAACAGTTAACACATGCTAGGCCTGAGCACAGACACAGGCTGCAGAGACAAAGGTGGGGAGGGAAAAGGAGGAGGAGGAGACAGGGGTAGGGGTACCCCAAGCCGAAGTCCTCCATGGACTCCTCCTATGCTGGGAGCTCTGAGCAAGGGTAGCTCTCTCTACTTGAAGGGGAAACGGCTCTCTGGGAAGTGTGCTGGGGGATGAGCTTGTGAGCAGGACAAGTGGGAGAAGTAGCTGTCATAGGAGGTCACTTCACTGTAATGGACACTGGAGATCTCAGTGGGAGACTGAAAAGGAAGGCTTCCTTATGCCAGAGCCATCTTTCAGATCCCTGACCTGACAGCGTCCTTCCCAATCTCCCCCAGGCCTACGTGAACAGAGCCCCCACATTGATACCCCATTCCAGCCATGTCTTAAGTCTTAGATTCCACTTTCTGCTGATCCTGCTCTGACTTGAAGTCCTCTCCATCCCTGCCCCTGCTCCTAATTTGTTCTAGGCTGTAGAGTTATTAGCAAAACAGCTGTGACTGGGGCTTCTTGCCAGTCAGATCTGTGCACATGAGGGCAGTTGGAACTAACTGCACGGCTAGGCTATAGCTCTGTGGCTCCCAGAAGCTGTGCCCAGAGCCAGGCTGCCCTCTAGTGCTCACTGAACACACAGCAGTCCTCTGTCCAGAAAGGGGCAGAGCTCTGTGGGGGAGACTTGAGGGCCTGCTTTGTGAGGCTCCCAGAGCTTTGCTGGTTCTAATCCCACCCCAGGGTAATGAAGTGCATCTGTTTACAGAAGTATCCCAGAACCCTCTTCCAAACAGCTCTTCCACTTAGCTCTTCGGTTTGTGGCTCATCCTAAATAGATGTTTTCAATGTGTGTATGAGTGTTTTGTCTGCATGGATGTCTGTATACCACATGCATGCCTGGTGTCTGAGGAGGTCAGAAGAGGGTGTCGGATCCCCTGAAACTGGAGTTACAGGCAGTTGTGAGCCACCATGTCGGTGCTGGGAATCAAACCTGGGTCCTCTGGAAGAACAGCCAGTGTTCTTAATCCCTGAGCCATCTCTCCAGCCCACTTAATGATTTTTTTTTTAATATTCAGTTGAAGTTCTTTCATTTGTATTTTTTTAAATCTCCTTCCTTCATGGAAAGAGGGAAACCAAGGGCTCATCTCTGAGATGGCTACTACCTTTTATGGTCCATGAGCTCAGCTGACTGAACCATAATTTCCCTCAGCGCTTCTCCTATTCTGTACTTCTGCTCATCTTGCCCCATAACCAGAGAAGAGGTAAGGTGAGAAGGCGGAGGGACTCCAGAATCCTGGATCTCAGGGAGTACTCCCAGAGAAAGGCTAGCCCGAACAACCACAGAGAGCACCTTGAATCCCTGAGGAGAGGGTTCCCCGCTACAGTAGATAAGTTGTGGGGTGTGAGGGCAGGCATGGCACTCACACAGGCAGGCAGGCAGGCAGGCCAGGAAGCCATCCCTGTGACTGGAGGCAGGGTAATAGGAAGAGGCCACCTCCAGAATTAAGTCCCTCTCCAAGGCTGGATGAGAAAAGCCCTGTGCTCCGTGGCTGGCAAGGCCCCTAGTAGTTCCTAACGTCGTGTCACTTTTTCACGGGTGAAGCAAAAACCGCTTTTGAAGACATCAGGCCAGGAAAGCCTGCAATGGCTTTTCCACACTCCACTGCTCAGAACACTGTTTCCATGCCAGCAGGCTGTAGCAGGGGACATAGAAAAGAAAGGGTGACCATCGAGTTACATTAGAACCCCTTTCAGATCAGACAGCACAGGTCAAGACAATGGGACTTCCTGGCAAGAAGTGCTGTCTCATCGCCTGTAAGACCTTGGCAAATGACTGGCATCTACCAGATAGTCATGGACCACTGGACTTGAACCCCTGCTTCCTTTAGAACCTCATGCGAAATACCATCACTGAACTAGTCTGAGCATCTGCTGCCCCTGTTACTGTAGTACATCCTGGTCTGGCTTGCCTCCAGCCCTCCTGTGTGGGGCGCAATATGAATGATCCCCCAATTTACAGTGTTGATAGGTGGTAAACAGTCTGTAGCCTTATTTCGCCCTCACATGATTTCCTTTTAAAGCACATCCATGTCAGCACACTTGTCTGTGTTAGCACAGCGGTTCTTCCTCCTAGCAACTCTCCATCTGTTCAGCTCCATCACAGCCTTCTAGCTGCCCGCAGCTAGGGGCCTGGGAACAGATGCCCAAAGCTCTGCCAAGAGCCACAGAGTCAGCCACCTGTTGTTCCCGGGACAGTGTTCTGTTGGCCAGAGTTGCAGGCTGAAGAACTGCTCCTGGAGTGAGCATCACAGAATCCCTTAGGGCCACACCCCACGACAGGGCAGGGCGAGGAGGCCGTCCTCCCTGAGCACTCCCTTTCAAGGCCTAGGAGCACTGCTCGTGGGCCATCCTTGCCACTGCCGTGTTGCATAGTGCTCCTCAGTGCCGGCTGTATGGGTTCCAAGGCATGGCCAGTCAGCTCCCCTCCAGTCCCAGCGCCATCCTCGTCCGCCTTACCTACTTGGCTTCCCACGGCTGTTCTCCGCGCTGTTCTTCCCAGGTCCCTCGTGCTTGGCTTTCTAACGCTCAACTTTGTCAGCAGCATCTTCAGAGCTCTAAACAGATCTCGGCTTCTGGTTCTATGTTCATACACCCTCCGAGCCCTTTTTTTGACAGGAGGTATGTACCTGTGTGGCCTTGGGCTAGTTTTCCTCCAGCTGCGCTCTGCCCTCAGTCTGAAAGGATGCACCCGCTCCCTGGCCCTCCCCTCCACCACAGACAGGACCTTGCAGAGCAGAGCACCGCAGAGCTCAGTGAGCCGGTGCAGTCTGCCCTACCGGCAGCGTCTGACAGGCCCTCACACAACAAACGCCCCCACAGCTGCACCCCCTCAGCCCTGCTCTGGAAGCGGCTTCAGAGAGTCAGCTTTTCCTCTCAAGTCTTCCTCCACAGTCCACCACACTTCTCTACACACACACACACACCTAACTCACACTTATGCACTGATATTATCAGACCACCCACAAACACATGCATTCGAACATGGTCGAGATAACTCTCACCCGCATACAGATAGACACGGGCAAATGCACGTTCTCACACCATCTCTCACACGCTTAGTTCACACTCATACCGCCCCGCCTCCCACATGCGCAGTCACGCACACACGTGTACACTCTTACATATCTTGCTGTACTATCCACACTCACATATGTGCACACCGTGCCATATGCGTGTAGTTACACCTCTGTGCTAACCTGCATACATACAGTCAGATGCTCCCACACTAATCCACACACTTCCTTACTATCACACACACACACACACACAGTCCTGTGCCATCCCACAAGCACAGCCACACACCTCCATACCGTAACACAGTCACGCATCCCAATGCTGTCCTACACACACGTGCTCACAGACCCCCATGCTATCCTCTGCACGTCCACGCACACAAGTCTATGCTATCTGGTCTACATATGCACTCCCAGACCTCCCCCCACACTCACACCACCACGCTGCCCCACACACATACAGGGACACCATTCCGTAATATCCCCACGTACACTCACATTAGTAATACACATACGCTCTCGCACGCCTGTCCCCTCTCCCGTGCGCACACACCCTCTCGGCCGACGCTCACATCCACATACTCCTAAACAACCCCACACAAGCACTGGTGTCACACACTTCCCCTTTCTCCCATGTACGAGTATTCCCACATACTATCTTCTTACCCGCGCTCACGTTTCCACACTAGTCCACATTCACACTCCCGTACCGCCCCACAGGTACACAGGCAGACGTCCACATTCTTCTAACAGTCCGTCACACTCACATACTCCAAAACCACCACCTAGACCCCGCCCCTGACACGTGCTCAGACTCTCACGGTCATCCTTGCACTCACATACTTACACGTCATCTCACGCACACGTGCTCACACTCGCTGTTACTCGCGTAGCCCTGTATTTCCCTACCATCCTCCGCACTCAAACACGCTTCCTAGTATTCTCACACTTCCATTTTAATGGCCGTCGTCATCACTTTGATTTTTGCCACGTCCTTGCTCTGTCTCTCCAGCACACCTCCCTTCATCCATCCGTCATCCATAGCCCCGTGATGGCTGGGGAGTACACAGCCTTACACGGCACATAGGCCACTAGAAGTCACCGGCACAGCGCCTTCATCTTACCGACAAGCCGTCTGGGGTCCGGAAAGGGAAAGATACTTAGCCAAGATTAGGAAGTTAGATATATGCCAGAGCAAAGTAAACCCTCAGACTTTGAAGTAGACAAGGTCTGGGGTCATCTCACCTGTCTTCCCCTGGCTCTCGCTCCTGGCATACGTATAAGAGCATCTGGCACGGGTCATCTGTGTGCCATCATTCACTCCCTCTGTGTTCCATCTTACCCTGGGAGGCCACTCCAGGGCTTCTTCTGAAAACAGTTGCAGGCTTTGTCATTGTCCTGGGTTGCATCACTGTCCCCCCTGTGCATTTGATGCCACAGTGGTATATGCTTCATTATATGACATACGTAATTGATACTTACTTCAAGCTTATATGGTTTTGCCTATACATGTAAATTATAAGCTTCAGGAAGGAAGGGGAGACTACGCCTTGTGTGTGTGTTTTGTTTTGTGCGCCCACATAACTGGCAAGATGCTTGCTATCTGCTAGAATTCCATAGCAAATGTTCAACAAATATATGAACAGATTCAACAATGAAAGTAATTATAGGTTGCTGACTTCCAAGCCATGGAAAAAAGGGACTATCACAGTTGTATGTAGGTTCTGAGGTACCAAAAGGACTAGGAAGAATGTTAAAGGTGAGGTGCCAGGGTGTCGCTGGTTGAGAGGAGGGCATGAAGGTCAGGCACGGTGGAAGAGTGAGGAGGCCAGAACTTGCCAATATTCATCTGCCAATTCCTACAGTAAGGACTGGCCCATCATGTGAGGGGATGCTCATGTGAGCCAGGCACTCTGGTGCCTGGGGACGCCTCTACCATGCCTTAGTCTAGGTGGCCTTCAGTACTAATCACCGTGTCCTTTCTGTGCATCTTTTTCTCCTCCAGAGCCAAAGGATGAAGTGGAAGTGTCAGATGATGGTAAGGCCAGATGGCTTTGGGAACAGGCTCTTGGGATGGAGGGGCTGAGAAGGGGGAACCTGATGGCTCACACTCACCCACCCTAACCTGTGCCCTGCAGATGAAAAGGAACCTGAGGTTGATTACCGGACAGTGACAGTCAACACTGAACAGAAAGTTTCTGATGTGTATGACATTGAAGAGCGACTAGGATCGTAAGTAGAGTTCAAAACTGCCTCTGGGCACCAGGACTAGGGTGGTGCAGGACCCACAGTTCACCCTGGCACATCTTCCTGTGCCCTCCTAGATTCGGCTTCCCTTGAAACTGAGAGTCTGCAGACTGGGAGGGAATGGCCCGCCAGCACGTCCCTCACCAGGGTCTTCTCTGGAGCTGCTCCTATGGTTCTGTGCAGGCCCAGCTCTGTGGGAGCCTAAGGCGAGGCCTTCTACGCCTCTGCATATCACTCAAACAGACCAGATCCAAATCAATTCTCTTTACCATCCCTTGCACTGGGTCCAAAGTAGCTGGGCCTGACCAGCACCTTCTTCGAGACAGCGCCAGCTTTGGGGGTGTGCTAGCATGCCCTGTGCCAGGGTTCTGAGAAGGACTTGCCCTTTGCTGCCATTGGCTGGCTCCGCCCTCCCTAGGACATAAAAAACACCAGCGTTCAGACACCAATAGGCCGTGCATCTCCCTCAATTCTCAGTCCCTTGAGGAATATAAGAAGGGAAGAAAGGGAATGGCGGGGAGAGGGGGTGTCATTCAGTTGGTAGAGTGTTTGCCTAACATGTACAAGGCCTTGGATTCCACCCCCAGCACCACATAAACCAGATGTGATCCTAGCATTCAGGAGATGAAGGCAGGCAGATCACAAGTTCAAAGTCAGGGCCATCATTAGCGACATAGTAAGTTTGAGGAATATATATATATATATATATATATATATATATATATGTGTGTATTTGTATGTATGCATGCATGTATACATACACACACACACACACACACACATATGAGAAAAGGCAATATGGCTCATCTTTTATCTCTGGTGATTTGGGAGAACCAAGGGCACAATGTAGGCCTCTTATCACCTCTGGAGAGGAAGTCATCCTGGAGGAATAAAAAGAGCCCCTGTTCCCAGCCAGTCCTCCCTCCACCGTCAGAGCATCTATGCTAGAAAGGAGTGGAAAGAGGACCTCAGCCCATCTTTGGGGGTCCTGTACAAGGAAGGAAAGAAGTCTACCCATAAGATTAAATAGAAATGTTCTTCATTAGTCAAGAGCGGTGATTAGCATTTTTTTTCCTTAAAGCGAAAATAGTTTCTGTTTAAGGTCTGTTAGCCATATACCTGGGTCGTGACTGCGCAGCTGTGTAGCTGTGTACAGTATGTAAATGAACAGGTGTGTGGCTGGGTTCCAATAAGCCTCAACTATAAAAAGAGTAAGGCCAGAACTGCCCCCACGGGCTACAGTTTGCCACCCCCGGCTTAGAAGAGAACTCAGCTCAACTTGGCTTTCCTCCTCTCTTTCATTGACAGTGGGAAGTTTGGACAAGTCTTCCGACTTGTAGAAAAGAAAACTGGAAAAATCTGGGCAGGGAAATTCTTCAAGGCCTACTCTGCCAAGGAGAAGGAGAACATCCGGCAGGAGATCAGCATCATGAACTGCCTCCACCACCCCAAGCTGGTCCAGTGTGTGGATGCCTTCGAAGAAAAGGCCAACATCGTCATGGTTCTGGAAATGTGAGTGGCACTGTAGCCCGAGAGCCCCTCCCACTGTTCCCACCCATCCACCTCCACCCACAACAAGGAATGATGGGCAAGATTCTCACCAGCACCATGACCATGGCTGACCAGAGGGAACCAGAACTGGCCCTGACCCACTGAGCAGCAGCCTAACAGCAGCCTTGGGACCCCTGCAACCTTTGACCTTTTGTTTCACTGTGAAAGAGCTCGGCTCTCACAGGCTCTTCGCTTTCACAGGGGCATTCTCACCTGGAGGTAGTTAGTTAAGGGGGGAAGGAAGGAAGGCAGCCTCTTGCCCTCCTTGACAAAGAGAAGGGGTTCAAATTTGGGAGTTCAGAATGCTAGAGTGGAGCCTTGCTCCATCCCTTCACTGATCCTTACTGCCCTGCCTTCATTCTTCCCTTGTTAAACTATTTTGATACCTCACTCACCAGAGTGAGGGCTTTCTCTGTTGAGCTATACAGAGGTGGGGGGGGGGGCTTCACTTCTCTCTCATGCACACACACAAATATATTCTAGCATCATTAATCCAGGTGTCCTTCACAGGCACCTGCAAATTTCATGGGTTTCCTTTGTCTAACATTATTTTTTAACATTTAAAATCACATTAGGAATTGTAAGGAAATACACAAGGGAGTCTTCTTCCCATCCAGTCACTCGCCTTCCCTGTTTCCATACCACCAGAGGTGAAGAGTCTTATTGAGCTTTGTTGTATTCTTCCAACAAGCTCTTTACGAAAATGCAAACATATGTGGTAACATTTCACTGTCCTGGCTTTTATCTCAGTGTATGACTTGCACTCACTGCCCTGCACTGGGAAGTTTTTAGTGAACACCACCAGAACAAGCCCTGCATCCTCAGAGCTACAAGGGGCCTCCGGGTACACACACATCACAGTGTGTGCGTTTGATAAGAGATCAGGCAGTTTCACACCTCTTTTGCTTTTGCAAACATTGCTCGTAGCCTTGTGCCAACCTAGTTTCACTGACACCTGTGCGTACCCACAGCCCATGTCCCAGAAGTGGAGGTACACAGAATGACGGGGACAATGTCCACTTGTGGGTCTTCAAGGTACTTTAGACCTGCACACCCTGAGCTTCGGGATCAGTTCTTTGGGGAAGAGGACATGTCCACTCTGCCAGGCATTCTTTCCCAGGAAGTGCCAGGCCTGAGAATGGAATAGTTGCCTCTTAGAGCAGAAGAGAATGGTTAGAAGGTCAGATCCCAGCCCCACCTCTCGTGATTTGACCCTGAATGACCTACCCAGCGCTGCCAATCCTTAGTGTTACGATTTGTAGAAGAACCTGTTGATCCCTCGTGAATGTTGTGGGGTTGAGTGGAGCAGTGCTTATGGGTCTCAGTGCTTGGCCACAGGCAGCTATCAGAAGAAAGATGAGACTTTTCCTGGGAGCATTTTAATGCCTAAGCAGATGCTGTGGAACAAGTCCTTTCTAATACTCAGGAAGTCTGCCATCCAGCTCTGTTACTATCAAAACGTGATTTTTTTTTTTAATTGTTAGGTAGTACAAAGCTAAAGGGTATTTAGGTTAAATAATCTCAAGGCTCCCCATTTGGCTATAAGATTATACTTTCTGTAGAATCACAAAAGACTCAGAAAGCAGCTTTCTTAGTATTTAATGATCAAATTCACCACCACCCTCTTCAAGTCTGTGACCCTGTCACAGCTCTCAATACCTGTGGGTTCTGAGGTTTCACATTTGTTTTATAATGAGTTGCTTAGTCCCGGCAGTGTGGGTATCTGAGGACATGGAGAAATGTCTTATCTTTAGAAGTTAAACCTTGAACAAGTTTGTGGGGCAAGGAGGGAGGGAGGACGGGCAGGAGGCAGGCGAGCCTGGGTAAGGCCAGGCAGCAGCACCAGTGGGCAGAATACCATACTTAGCTTGGAATTGGGACTTGGCACGCTGGGTGGAAAAAGAGCAGAGAAATGTAAGGAGGTTTCAGCTGGTCTGGCTTTCATCCCTGCACCCTACTCCTCCCCCACGGACAGAGCGAGTCTCACAGGCACAGATGCCAGAATAGCCTCTACTGAGGTTAAGAGTTTGGCCTGTGAAAGGAACTCAACCAGGGCTTATACCCACCTGTCCATCCCCCACCCCCAACCTAGCCTAACTCATAGCCACAAACAGAGAGAAGATTGACAGTCAACAGGGCAATTTTCTGTTCTCGTCTGAAGGAGAAAATGAGAGAAATGAAATGTATTTCAGAGTCTGCCTCAGATATGTGGGAAATAAGGAAGACTATGTTTGCAGCCTATCTGGCTTTTGGTTCCTGGATGAGCTCCAACTGTACAGAAGCAAAGGGTCCTTCTGGCTACTCCCTGGGCCTGCCTTGTTGGAAGTGCTTGGGACTGTCCAAGTGATGGTGGGACCCTGAGCCCTGGAGAGGATATGAAGTTTCAGCTGGGTCCCTGATGGCTGATGTCATCTTTGTTCTACTGTCAGCAGAGTTTATAAAAGAGCATCCAACTGGCTGCCAAGAGACAAAGAGTAGAGGCTGGGTACCAAGTCCCTGGATAGCACTGTTTTCTCTGGCTGCCAGGGAAGGTTTGTCCAAACCTAGAGCTCTGGGGATAAGCTTGGTCCCTTGGGATGAGTCGTGTTGGTGATAGTATCCATTCATTTATTTACCCACATACTATCAGTTTATGAAAAACACATTTCATCTGGCCCCATCTTGGCTCATGCCTATAAGTCACATCCTTTAGCAAACTAATACCTTCTCCATGCAGTCTTGGCCGTTTTGAAGAAAAACCTACAGAACTATGAAACTTGATGTTTAACTCCTTCCATACCAGGAAGCGACTAAAAAAATGTTCTAAAACTGTATTAGAGATAGCTGAATTGCCCTGAGCCTATGTGAGCTAATACTCAATGAGTTACCTGCCTCTAGAAATGCAAGCCGTATGAGCTTCAGGCTCAGACAGCTACGCTTACTGCCCAGAAGTCCCCCGGGAAGTTGAAATGCTGGCTGCTCTCTCAGGACATTTTAAACTTCGAGGCGGATAGTTGGGGATCACCTCGTCTGTGCTACATACCGGCAGCTGCGTGTGAGAGCCAGGCTGCAGGCTGCTGCGAGGACCAGCAACTGAGACAAGAAAGTAGAGAGGCAAGGCATGGGGCCTCCAGGAGGAAGGCTCATTTGTGTAGAAATGGGGAAGGGTTTTTTTTCAAGAACTTGGATTTCAGCTTGAGTGACCCAGGGACTTTTAAAATATGGACCCTCAGATTCCTCTCAAGACTTTACAAAGCCAAATCTTGGAGGGAGGATATTGAGAATCTGTATTTTTCTCGTGTGTGTGTGTGTGTATGTATAAGTTCAAAATTATTTATTTTATTGTATATGCATTGGTGGTTTGCTTGTATGTTTGTCTGGGGGAAGGGGGTGCTAGATCTCCTGAAGTTACATTCACAGACAGTTGTGAGATGCCCTGTGGGTTCTGGGAATTGAACCTGGGTCCTGTGGAAGAGCAGCCAGTGCTTTTAACTGCTGAGCCGTCTCTCCAGCCCTGAAAATCTGTATTTTCAACATAAACCCAAATGATACTTTAAAGTGAAATATATATTTAACATGCTAGTACCCTTCTGCAGACTTTGCCTATAGCGTTAACTCAGTCCATCTGTGGAGCAAACCTGTGAGGTGGTGATGTTTTTATCTTACAGATAAAGAAATTGAGGCTGTGATCTAACAAAAGAGTTTTCTCTTAGAGCGGGGTCCTGGTTATCAGCAGAAATGAAGGCTTCAGGAGAGAGGCGCCACCTGCTGGCTGTGCAGGGTCTTTCTTCTCTGAGTGGCTCTACAGTCTGTTCTAGCTCCTTCTAGTGGCCAGTGACACTCAATGACCTTTACCCGAGTCTGCTCTTCCAGGGGACGATGACGGAAGCGTACAGGCGCTGACGTCTTCTAGTCTGTCTCTCCTGCAAGAGTCAGTGACAAGGAACTACCTGTCTTAGAGAGTCACAGCTAGTAAAACTCCGAGATTGCATTCACGCCTGCTCTGCCCATTCCTGAGGACTCCCTTTAGGAGAGTCGTGGCCTCTGGGGTGGGGATCAGAGAAGACCGTGCAGCTCAGACACGGGGCCGTGCATTCACACAGGGTGATTTGCTGGCTACCTGAAGTTAGCAGTGGAGGCCTAGCTGTGGGCTGCAGAAGTGGAATGGATCGCACACACCCAGGACACAGAGTCTGCCAGGCAGAAAGGAGAGGAGGGCCTTCCAGAAAGACCAGTTAGCTACGGCTGGACTGAACCCCCAGCGTCAGCAGATCTATTACAACTACTATGCGACAGGCCACATCCAGCCAATCCCAGAACTTTGAGGATTCTCATTATCAAAGATAGTTTTCTGTTCCCGGCTATGCAAGTATATTCTTACATTCTACACGACGGTGAATATTTGAAATGTCAGTCCCCTGTGCCTGTAAGCACAGCTATAAAAAGAATGAATGGGGCTTGGAAAGCTGCAGAAACTTAGCGCACGCGCACACACACACACACACCTGCCAAGGCGGGACACCCTGCCATCCTGGCCCCCAGAATCCTACAGTATGACTGCAGTGCATTCCCTGCCTCCTCCTGTCCCCACAGTGTGTCAGGGGGCGAGCTGTTTGAGCGCATCATCGACGAGGACTTCGAGCTGACAGAGCGGGAGTGCATCAAGTACATGAGGCAGATCTCAGAAGGGGTGGAGTACATCCACAAGCAGGGCATCGTGCACCTGGACCTCAAGCCCGAGAACATCATGTGTGTCAACAAGACAGGCACCAGGATCAAGCTCATTGACTTCGGTCTGGCACGAAGACTAGGTAAGGCCCATCTACCTGTCCTGTTGCTGCCCGTACGTAATAGCAATGGCTATGTGTGTGCTACACACTGTGTGTCAGAGATGTATGGAGCTGAAGTCACAGACCAGTAAGACTCAGGTTCTAATCTAGCCCCTACCACTTACTGCCGTATCACTCTAAGCCTCAAGTTCCTTTTCCATAAGGGGAGACTAAACAGTACCTGCCCCATAGAGATGTTAGGCTGCTAATGCACAATAGCAATAGTCCTCACACACAGTCGGCACCTTGGCCTTAACTATCTATTTGAGGGTGGGATAGTGCTGGCGGTGGTGGCGGTGGTGGTGGCAGTGGTGGTGACGATGACATTAGCAGCAACAATTCCCTTTGGGGTGACGACAGCTCCCCACATCTACATTATGTTACAGTTTGCAGAAAACTTTCACGTTCAAAGAAAATATGTAACCAGCTTCACTCATCCTTACTTGGAGGACAGAGAACTTATAGGCTAGAAGTTCAGGATTCTCCAGCAGTTTCTACCACAGGCCAGTGAAGTGCTGAGGCTGGCAAAGGGACCCTGGACCCGGCTCAGCTAATCTAGGGCCCCTCTGCTATCAGTGTCTTGCTATTCCACCTCGAGCCTCTGACATCCTCAGCAGGGAGGTGTGGGGGAGAAGCTGGAACTTCTTTCCAGGCACTGAAGTCTTTATGGTCAGCAACTGTGCCTCATGTACACGCTGGTCCCACTCTGCCCATACAGCTCTGTCTATCATTGAGCAACATCCTTCTCCCCTCCTGGACACTGGTCTACTAATAGTCTTTATTTTGCCACCCTGTGAGCGGCAGGAAATAGTTGAACAAGACAATGCCTGGTAAACCTCCCCGGACCTCCAGTCCTGGGTGAGGTTGTGTTGGCCATCCAGAGAACGGTGAGATTTGGGGGGTCCTCCCAGGCCAGACATGCTTGATGGTCAGCACAGTGTGGCTGACCTGATTCTGAGAAAATATGCCTGTTCTATTCTCCTCTCACACAGGGACAGTGGCCAGGACATAGGACCTTCCTTTGGACAGTAACCACCAATAAACGGGGCAAATCGGGAAGCACTGGCCCTGAGAACTGACATTGACAGAGCCCAAGGAACACAGTGTTCCAGTTCCTTGGTAGAGAGACATTAAAGGGACAGCAGCACCTGAGGACCAAAGATGAGGGAAGCAGTTAAAGTGCAGCAGGGGGAGTTAGGTGTGAGCGGGGCCACGGCTTCAGGCTGTGAAGGCTGTTAGAGCCTTTGTTTGGACTATTTGACATGGGTCTTGATGTGTTGAACCAGACCAAATGCGGCTCCCAAGCCAAAGCTCTACCACTGCTGACACCTCCAATCTGGTACTGGCCCGCTAGCGGGCATCTCTGCTCCCTTATGGCAGAGATGTGCCACTTAGGCCTCTCTGACTATTGTCCAAGCAACAACTGGCCAGCAATCAACCACCTGGGTCCATGTTGTGACCACCTCTGGGGGAATCACTTCACTTCTCCGCACCTTTTTGTTGTCCTGAATAGCACAGGTACCCTCCCTGTTTCCTAGGTTTAGTGAGACTGTTAAGCCATAAAATCTTTTGAAGGATGAAAGGAGTATTCAGTGTGGAGACAAAGTGCATCAGACACAGTGGATGCTGGTGTCACCATCCAGTTGAGGTTGCTGAGCACAGGTCACCATCCTTACCTTGGAGGACTAGCTTGTGGAGCACAGGCATATCTAGCTTTATTAGTATTATGAAATACTTACGAAGGGGCCGCTCAGGGACAAGTACTTTAGTGGCCCCTTCCCCCCTAACTCAGGGCACTTAAGTTGAGTATATGCATTGTTGGCTTTCCTGATGGGTCAATGTGTTAACAGAAGGTCCTGTGTAATGGAGCGCACCGAAGGTGAGGCCCTTCTCTGTGCCCATTACACAAACAAGGGCAGGACCTACCCCAGGCTAACTTTGTGATATGCTGTCAACCGACCCCTCTTCATTCTGGTTTCAGAGAATGCTGGCTCTCTGAAGGTCCTCTTTGGGACCCCGGAGTTCGTGGCCCCAGAAGTGATCAACTATGAACCCATCGGTTATGCCACAGACATGTGGAGCATCGGAGTCATCTGCTATATTCTGTGAGTCCTGAGATTCGTGGTAGGGAGGGGAGACATATTACAGGAGGGTCCTTAGGTTGCCATGCTATAGTGCGGGAGAGGGCAGGGTGGGTCATTATGGGGGACCACACCCTTCAAGAAAAAGGGTGATGGGTTTCCATGCCCATCTCTGCCAGCCCACCCTGCTCTTGGACTCCCAGCGAGTCAGTGGCCTACGTCACCCTTCTGTAGCCACGTATAGTGCCAAACGCAAATACCCCCATGCTGGGCCCCTTACTGTCTCTAGTGCTGCCTGCCTGGGGGCTTTGGTCAGGCTTCTGAGGTAAGGGGAAGCCCAGATGGGGATGTCTGTGCATCTTCACTGTCTTCTGAGGACAGAACCCCATCCTCACAGGATGGACACCACAATCCCTCCTCATCTCTCACTCCGGTACATGTACTGATCGACGGACACTTTTAATGGAAAGGGTTATATGGGAACAAGAAAACAGAAATCCAGACAGCAATTAGAGTTAGCAATGCTGGAGGGAGAGAAGAGAAGCCAGCAGTGGGCACCAGTGCTTGGCAACCCATAATATGCCCAAATCTCTGTGGTGATGCCTCAGGTGGCAGGCTTTGCCTCAGCACTGGTGACCCGAGATCCCACAGTTAAGACAGGACCCAGGCAAACACCCAGGAGTGTTTGCCCAAGGTTAGGCTTGGAGTACCCGAGCTCCACGTAGTTTCGCTGGGTTGTGCTGAAGCTCCAGGCCACAGTCATTAGCCTTACAAGTAGCCCTTGAACTTGTATGCCACATGCAGTTATGGGATAATCTCCCTAAAGCTGTGGCATAATATCGTTGTCTAAAAATATCGTTGTCAGGGTTAGGGATGTAGTTCAGTGGGTAGGGTGCTAGCCCAGTATGCATGGAGTGCTGGATTCGGTCCTCATCACTGCAGAGACATTCAGACACAGTGGCACACACAGTCCCGGCACATGAGAGGTGGAGAGAGAAGATTAACAAGTTCAAGGTTACACTCAGCTACACAGCCAGCCTGGGCTGTGAGACCTCGTTTCAAAGTATATACATATGCATATTGTCATTAAAACAAACAGGAAATCAAATATTTTTCATAAAAAATTTGGAAGCCTGGAGCAGTGGCGTACTCCTGTCATCCCAGCCCTCTGGGATGCGGAGGCATGCAGATCTCTGTGAGTTCGAGGCCAGCCTGGTCCTCAAAGTGAGTCCAGGACAGCAAAGAGAGAAACCTTGTCTCAAAAAAACAAAACAAAAAAAAAAAAAATTGGGGAGGCTGGAGAGATGGGTCAGAGATAGGAGCATTTACTATTCTTGCAAAGTACCCAGGTTCAGTTTCCAGCGCCCACATCAGGCAGCTCACAGCTGCCCACAACTCCAGTTCCAGGGGATCCAAAGCTTTCTTCTGGCTCTGAGGAATACCTGCACACATATGGTGCACACAGCTCCATGCATGTGCACGCACACGCGCACACACACAAATTCACGCAGACAGATGCACACACATCTTATTTATTTATTTATTTATTTACTTACTTACTTACTTACTTACTTACTTACTTACTTATTTACTTATTTATTTATTTATTTTGGGTTTTTAGAGGCAGGGTTTCTTCTCTGTGTAGCCTTGGCTGTCCTAGAACTCACTTTGTAGACCAAATTGGACTTGAACTCACAGAGGTGAAAGGTAACTCTTAATGCTCAGGTGACTTAAAAAGCATCGTTAGCAAAGCTCTAGTGTGTGGGGCTTCTGACATGCTCAGAGTCTCGCCGTCACCTGTGAGGACAGCCTCCTTCCGCTGGACCTGTGCCATAGCACTTTTCCCACAGGGTCGCTGCCTTCCCTGCCTGAAGTCACCCTCTTCCAGGTCAGAGAAGACCCATGCATTTCTGTCTCTCCCGGTGCCCTCTAGGAGGGGGTCCTAGCGACAGAGGACACTGCACTGGATGTTTCCCCCTGTCCCTGGTGAACTGAAGAACTGAGGGCCATGAGCTCAGCTCAGCTCTTCTGGGGCTACTGGGCCAACCCAGAGCTCATTTTGGTCTCTGGGCCCTAGTGAAACACTGGTCCCTTCTGCCGCATTTGATCAGCTCTCTCTGTCCAGCCCCTGCTGTGCTGTACGGCTTAGCTGGCCCCCAACACTTGCAGTGCTGCAGGGGCCTCCCTTCACAATGGCAGGGGACCATCTGATCCACTGATTTTCACAAAGGAGGGTCAGCACAGTGTCCAGTGGGTCATGGCAGGAGTGTGATTGCATTGGACATTGAAGAGCACAGTACCACGGAGGCTGCATGGTTGGTCATTTAATCATGGTCTGGACAGGTGACCAAGAGTTCCTTTTTGCCCAGAACTAATAGTTTCCTAGGGTACAGGACTTCGAGCACAAAAATGGGGCTAGTACCTGACAAACCAGACAAAGGAATTGCAGTGCTCACTGGACTTGTTGGTAAGTTTTAACAATGCACGCATCCCTGTGTCCCACACTGGATCAAACAAACAAACAACTAAGACCCTGCAGACCTTGGGTGCTCTCGTGTTTACTGTCCCCAGGACTGACGTCATCCTTTTTTTTTTTTTTTTTTTCTGAAGTTAGCGGTCAGTTCTGTGTGTTCCTGGACTTCATGAAAGGGCCCAGAAGGAAGTGGCTGGCTTCTTTTACTCAATGCCACGAGGCTAACTCATAGTCTTACACACATCTGTGGATGGCTCATTATCCAAGCTACGCAGCATGCTACTGGGCGAGCATAATCTAGTGTGTGATGGGGCCTTAGGCAGTGTCCGGTTGTGGTGTTATAGCCTTCTGGCATGTGTGTTTTTAGAGATGTGTGAAATGCTGAGTGTTTCCACTGGTAATGTAATCTGGAAGTTGGCTTGCTGGGTCAGAAGAGCACATATTTTAAAATAAAAATCATTTTAGATACTATGTTACCCCCACCTGGCATTGTTTACTAATTGCTTTTAAAGTGAAGACTAAGCAATAAGGACTTTTTTTTTTTTTATTAAGAAAGATAACCTTGACATACAGACACCTGTACATCTGGTATCAGGAGTAAAGAGAGGGATGGGAGGTGAGTGGCAGGTTGGGTCCACACAGCTCAGTGTCCGGATGGCTGCACCCATTGATGTGGCAGCTACCTGGACTGCTCCATAAGAGCTGGCTCAAATCTGGGAATTCCTCTCTGGAGCTAGGGGACTCTCCACAGAGCACATGATGCTAAGAAGAAAAGTTGGACCAACAAAATGGCTTCCTTTAAGCCCTGCTGTGCAGAACTGTGCCAGAAGTGGCTGAAGAGGTGGCAAGTGCCCTTGTGGTATATTATGCCCTGCCTCATCTTTCTCTTTAGAGCTGGGTCATTTATCTAACAGTTCCTATGTTGGCCCTCCTGACCCCTTTTGAGAACAGTGAATGCTATAGGACATCATTAGCCAAATAGCAACATGTTTCGACCCCTGTTGGGGCAGTACCTCCTGAGCTACGGACAGCACCATCACACCACATCAGTGCAGGGGGGTCCAACTTCAGTGTGGGAATTTGAATTCTTGGAAAATCCAGCCCAGAAGTTAGGACAGTTCCAGTCCTTGCATAGAAACAATGGCAGCTCCAGGGTGATTCTTCTGAAGGTAGGGATTCCTTGGATCTCCTTCTGAAGTTAGCTTCATTCAGCTGGAAGAGAAGGGGGGGGGGACCCCAGCCACACTCCCGAAGGGAAATCATAAACCAGCCTTCCCTCTGGCTTCTCCCCCGCTGCTCCCTGAGGTGTTGCTTCTTCCCTGTGCCACCGTTCCTGCCCTCCCTTCCCTGTCCCAAAGAAAAGACAGATATTTCCAGTTCCCCTTCCCTCCCTGTTGCCCTCATCCTCCCAGCTGCCTCAGCAACACATTCCCTCCATGCTTCAAAGAGCCAGAGGCCATCCTCATGGCTGTCGCCTCTGTCTGTCCTGTGCTAAGCCCAGGAATGCTTCTGATTCCCCACCTCTTTGCTCCCTTGCCAAACTCAGCCACTACCTTTAGGTTCTTCTACCCAGAAACTCCAATTCTGCAAGCATGATTAAGCCCCCAGTTTAGTCCTTGCCTCTTCCCACGAATCTGCTCAATCTTTCAAATTGTCCACTGGGGATTCTTAAGGTTAAAACAGGACAAAGCCTAAACTCTCCAGAGGTGTTCAGTGGTCTGGCAGGCATGTGGTCCCTCAGCTAGCCACTCACATAGCCAGATCATGCCTGTGACTGTAAAGACAGCAATGGAGCAAGTGTAGGCCAAGGGACATTCCATCCTGAGAGAAGAGCAGGCCCCAGCCCCAGGTTTGCTGATGGTGCTCTGCTGTGGGGACGCTAAGGGTCATTCAATGCCAGACATGTGGCAATGATTAATTCCAGCACATAAGAGGCAGGGGCAGGCAGATCTCTGAGTTTGAGGGTAGGCTGGTCTACAGAGCAAGTTCCAGGGTAGCAAGGGCTACACAGAGAAACCTTGTCTTGAAAAATAAAAATAAACAAAAAACTAAGCCATTAGGGGACCAGAGGGCTGGGGGATCTAGCACAGTGAAAGAAGCCTGCTTTAGCATGCTTTAGGCCCTAGATTTGATGCCTAGCATTGAAAAAGTATTAAGAAAGTAGGACACCCTGAAGTGTGAGCTTCATGATTCAGACTTGAGAATGAATGTTAAGAATCCACATACTTGAGAGAGAAGCCAAGTATTCAAGAACTTGCCCAGACAGATAACAATTTTCTGAAAACTGGGTAAGTCCTTTGATTTAAAACTAGATAACACTGGAGGTCGGAGTGTCATATAGCATCAATGTATTTGCTAGCTGGTTAATAGCTTTTTTCTATGATAAAAAGACACATGACCCTTTATTACAAATTATAGCAATAAAGTCCAAAACAGGAAAAACTGAAATCTCAATCTAGTCATAGCTGTACAGACCATGCTAGCACCTGGACAGCAGAGGCAGGAGGATCAAAAGTCTGAGGCCGGTCTGCACTACCACACTATATACTGAAGCAGAAATACAACCCAAACCACAAGCATTTCTCAATTATTCAAACCCTGCCTTGGCCATCATGCTGCAGGGTACCAGTTTTGGAAGTTTCGGACTTAAGGGGAACTTGGGCAAGTGGAAACCTGGGCAGGACAGAGTGTTTCAGATGGATGTACTGCCAGAGGGGCTCAGTGCCAAGGCCAGAGGCTGGGGCTCCCCCTGCCTGCATCGTAGACAGCGATTAAGACCTATCTTTGCAGGATTCCAAGTCCTAATTAGGAAAGGAGGTGTGCAGAGGGGCCCTTTCGGCATTCCTCAGTGCAGCTGTTTGCTTTTCTTGCTGTCTTTTGGAGCATGGCAGGACTTTCCCCCTCTTGCTTCAAACAGAAAATGCAAAGGCAAGCAAAAGCAGGTGCCTACAAGCAAAGACAGGCTGCATCTTGGTGGAACTTGCTTAGGCCACACACATCCCAGAGGTGGAGGCAGCTGGGAGGTCCGTCGGAAACGCAGTCCCGTCACTGCGGTGGTGTCAAGGTGGAGAAGCACATAACAGTGTAAACTCCAGGACTGGTAGTCTCCTCCCAGACCCTCTTGGGCACAATGACCAAAATGATTCAAATTGTCCACTTAAGTCAGCATCTTGCCTTAAGAAAAGCCATCTATGTGCTAGGCATAGTGGTACACGCCTTTAACCCCCACATTCAGGAGGCAGAGGCAGAGGGGAATCTCTGAGGAGTTCCAGGACAGCCAGCGATACAGAAAAAAAAAATCTTAGAAAAAAGAGAAAGCCATCTACAATAGTTTAGTATTACTCAAAAACCCAAGTATATTAACTAGCGTGAGAAAATTCACACTCACCAGCTCTCTACTCTTTGTACTTGCATTCAGCAGAGGGCTCCTCCCATGGCCAGCCTTCTCCCAGTGTTTCAAGTGGGTGTTGTCAGAGCACAGTGTTCGGGTACAAGCAGATTTCATAAGCTGGGGCCTTTTGAATGCTGAACAAGCCCAGCATCTGTCAGTGAGTTGTTGTTTATGATGATGAACTAATAAAGATGTGGAAGAAGGATGTTCGTACAACCCTGACTTATGAGGGCCTTGGATATATTTCATGGGATTTAGACGGGGGTCAGGAGAGGGTTAAGTATATAATTTTCAAATTGAAGAGGCAGGGCTATTTGTTGAAGCACTATTAACAATTTCAAGATGGTGGCGGCAGAGCATTAATGCCAGGGGGTGGGGGGGGGTCCATCTCAGGGTGGGACTCCGGGCAGCTGATTCCATGGAGTCAGCTCTTGGTTCGCCATACACAGTGAGGGGATTGCTGGCACGAAGAAGGAGAGGTGTGTAGAGGTCACGGAGAGGCTGGTGAGCTTCAGTCTGTTCTATCTGACTTTGAGGTCACTGCCTTCCACATTGCGTTTGGCTTAGGCTGCTGGGAGACAGCAGAGGTTATCTAGAAGAACTGTATGATACACGTGGTGCCAGATGAACCCTAACCATGGACGGCTCCGAGTGCCAGTGCAGTGCATACAGCTTTCGTAATCTGCATGGAATTGTGAGCATGCAGCAGCAGTAAAGGGTTGGCCTGGGGATCCAGGCTCCTGGTTTCACATCTGAGTGTCTTGGAATCTTTGGGCAGGTTACCTACCAAATTCTATGCCTCACTTGCTTTCTCTGTATAATGAAGAAGTGGGAATTACCTGTGTTCTGGGGCAATGTTAAGATTAAATGGGTTCATCTATTTCAGGTCTTCACACTGCAGGTGGTAAAGTGTGCTCCACGCCTGCTGAAGAGGGGACAGGGACCATAGAGTGGAGAGACTATTTCACAGCGTGAAGAAAAAGTGGTGCAGAGGGTAGAGATGGCGTCAGAGGTCGCTCAGCTAATAGAGGCTGCACTCTGGCCTCTGCCACGTAGCCTGTGTCCTGGTGTGACATAGATGCCCCAGGGGGGCCATGCCTCCTCGCTGGTTGAAAGCCCTCCTGTTTATTTGGCTCACATTTGATGAGCCATCTCTGCATGGTGCCTCCCCCACCCCCAAGAGCACACTACAGGCAGACGGGAGGAAGGGACGCGCTGAAGATTCTACGAGGGGTGAGGGCCAGCCTGGGATTTGAGGGCAGGGAAGATGGAGGGTTTCTCAGCTCTGTTTTGTGCGCAGTGGAAGTCTGTAGATGAATCAAGGAGCCCACCTCAGCCTCGCAGGTGTTTAGTGTAAAGGCTGGGGAGACCCTGAGTTCAGTGAGTGGCTGAGGAGAGATACAGAAGCCCAGTGGATTTCTTCTTGGAGCTTGAAGAAAGGCGCATGCAAAGGCCATATGGTATATGCTTCGGAGTGCAGGGCACACCCCACCTTTGACCTCGGCACGTGCTCAGAGGAGTCATGCTCCCCATCCCTCCCAGCTCAACTCCCCTTCTTGCTCTTCTGCTCTTCTCCCCCAGGGTCAGCGGACTTTCCCCCTTCATGGGTGACAATGATAACGAGACCTTAGCCAACGTCACCTCAGCCACCTGGGACTTTGATGATGAGGCGTTCGATGAGATCTCCGATGATGCGAAGGATTTCATCAGTAACTTGCTGAAGAAAGATATGAAGTAATAAGCCAGGATGGCAGTCTTGTCAGTCTCTGGTCTGGTTGGGGGAGGGTGGGCAGAGCCTTCCATTACCTGCGGAGCTCCCTCTTCCTGGTTCCACGCCAGTCCTGTGTTCCCTGAAGAGGAAAGAGTGGCCAGTGAGGGACCCAGCCAGTGGTTGTGTGGAGTGGTCCCTGCTTCCGGGTGCCAGACACCCCACCTACCTTTAGAAGCATAGAAGCCCCACTGGAATGGTGACTCCGGAGCCAGGGTCTCGGGGGAAAGACAGCATCTCTGTGACGATTGGCCTTTTATTGTCTGTTTGGCTGTGGCCTGCACAGTCCTGCAGACCCCACAGGACCTCTCCAAGGCTGCTTCACTTATGTTGGAGGGGCCTCTTTCTATCCCCAGATTATCCTGGCTTGGTATTTTATTCACATCGAAATTATTACTTAGATGTGGCCCAGTTCCTTCTAACTTGAACAAATTGATGAACAGTGGATGCCGGGATGCCCCTGCCTATGATGGCAAGCTATGAAGAAAGATGAAACAAACACCCTCTTACATAGTTGGAGTGAGGCTAGGTGGAAGAGGCAGGCCAAAGTTACACAGCTTGTTGCTATCAGTGAGTGGAGTTAGCTAAATTAAGGCCAGAAGGTAAGAGGCTCTGGGTGAAAGGCTCTGTGTTCCTCAGGAGAGCTGCCAGGCAGGGAGCAATATGCTATCATGTGCCATTCTGTAAATAAGTGTTCAGAGGTAGAACATGTTTCCAGTACCCCCACTCTACCCCCCAGCTCTGAGTGGCATTTGGCAACAGGGGATAGTTGTGACCACGCCAAGAAGGGTGGTGTTGACATGTGATGTGACAGGAGCAGGAGAGAGGCCGCTGCCTCCAGCGGCAGGCAAGAAGCTCAGAGCTGGCAGGTGAGTTTGCAACCTGGCTTCCACCTGTCTGCCCTGGGCTGTGGCTTTCTCCCTCCAACCCTGGGAACGGGAGACAGCAGTTGTTCCAGGAGACTGTCAGAGAGCCTGCTAGATGGCTGTGCCTAGTTCTCCCAATGCCCACCTATCTCTGAATCCTCTTGAGCCTCCAGATTCTGACTCCCCGAGCGATATCGACACTTCCTCCCAGCACAGTCTTTGAGTGGCCACAGTTGTGTCACTAAGAAAAATGACCCAAAAATAAATCTGGATGTCATAGGAGTCTCTTTCAAGGTAAAGGCTCTTACTCCCAAGAGAGCTAGCTCCCTTCTGATAGATAACTCTGACCCAAGGATGGTGTTTGTAAATTAAACTTCATCCATAGATCCCATAGGTGCGGCACTGTGTGTACACCTCATTTTCTTGGCTGCTTTTAAAATGATTTAGCTGTATTGGGCTCCTCGGTCCTCATAAAATGGACTCACTAAAGACTCACTTCATCAAATAGAGTGAAACATTACATTCTTTCAAATCCTTAAACCGGGCATTTTTTAAAATTTCTGTAATAAAGTTATACATGCAAGATGTAGACATTTAAAGAGTATAAGTCATCTTAAAACATCATGATCCCTTTATCTAAAGATCCCCCACATTGAGCTATGCTTCTTTCTAGACTCTTTTCTTTTTTGTTGGCATGTGGTTCTTGGGACTTAGTCTTGTTGCAATTAAAATGATGACACTGAGATGTTTCTATATTCCAAAACCTCTCAGGAAGAAATGGCTTTGGTGCAGTTCTTAGGCGGCTGTAATTTTGAAGTTGCATGTAGGGCACACCTCTTTGGATTGAGACAGGATAAACCTGATACTCAGCCACACTCTAAGATGTGAAAATTCAAAGATACTCACAGGTTTTGTCTTAGCATTCCCTCTCATTCCCTATTTTGAGAGGCAAAAGGGTCAGGCCCCATGGGACCAGCAGAATGACAAACCTCCCTAGGATATGGTGTCAGGCCTGTCTGCCTTGTAACCCTGACCCTCTTGGACCCCAGAAGGTTGAGAGCCTGCTGATGGTTAGGCTGGGTCCAGTCAGCACAATCCAGACCAAGGGGACAAACGGCCAAATGCACAGTGCCCCTGATCATGATGTGTGAGCTGAGACAGACAGCCCCAGGCTGTGCCCCCTGTATCCAGGGACAGATGGCCTCCCACTTATCATCTCTGAGGTCCCTTCCTGCTAGAAATCCTCTGGTCTCTGCCTCCACCAGAAACCGTCTGGACTGTACCCAGTGCCTTCAGCACCCATGGCTGATGAAAGACACCAAGAACATGGAGGCCAAGAAGCTGTCTAAGGACCGGATGAAGAAGTACATGGCACGAAGGAAGTGGCAGGTAATATAGCCTCAGCATCTAGGATGCTGCTCTTCATGTTAGTTTTATTCAGGCCCAGTTATCCCTAACTTCATTCCAAGAAAGTTTGAATTTGTTTCTGAAATGACCTATGTAGATAGCTGATTAAGGCGATGAGTTACATCCTTGATCACAAAGTCCTTCGCTCAGAGAAAACTCCAATCCAACTCAGCTTTGTCTCCTGGGGCGCAGTGGCCTTGTCCAGCCTGCTCCCCTCTTCCTGGTCATGTTTTCCTGGCTAGAGATGAACAGCATGACCTTGAAGTTTATCTGGCAGTCCTGGAGAAGCTGAGCTCCTAGCGGGTAGTATGATGGTCACGTACTGGCTTATGAGATGGGGAAGGAGGGTGTATGCACCAAGGAGGAAACAGTGGTAACTTTAAGCAAAGTAGTTAGTTTTGCTGTGGATTCGTGTCAAATGGGAGTAACACTAGTACCAAAAATTGTGGAAAACAATAAGACAAAATTCGAAGGTTTTTAGGATAGTACTTGGAGCACTGTGACATTCTGCAATCCTATCTGTGGTTAATATGAAGGCTGGCCATAGATCAGACTTTATTCAAAGATTTCCTGTATGCGTTGGTTTCTTTTCTGTTTGCTGTGATAAAACATCCTTAAAGGGAGAAAGGATTACTTGTGGCTCAGAGTTTGAGACATGGTCTATTATGGTGAAGAAGTCATGGTGTCAGGAGATTGGGGCTGCCAACCACATTGTATCTGCAATGGTGAAATGGACCAGGGAACAGCCATCTTACTTTCTCTTTATTCAGTCTAGGACCCCACAGTGAGTAGATCTCCTCACAATTAGCCTAATCTAGATAATCCCTTATATCCAAGTCCAGAGTCAAACCTAATGCAGAGAGTCCCTCACTAGTGTGCCCAGAGGCTGTTCTCCTACTTCTAGATCTTACAACTTAACACTAAGTACTAAACATCACATCTGTGCCTGTGAGATACTTTTACATCTTACCGTTGTAGCTATTATTGTCCCCACTTCACAGACAAACCAAGGAAGAGAGTAGATGAGGGGAAGTCATCCAGGCTCACAGGGCTCAGTGGAAAAAGCCAGGTATCAAGCCTAGAGCCTCACTCCAAAGTACACAGCCTTACCAAAGACAGAAGTGACCGAAATACCCCTAATAACAAGATGGCATCACTGTCACCTGAACCCTAGAGCACTTATTCCCTTCTCCATCTGCTTGACTCTTTTTTTCATCGCAGTCTGAATTGTAAAATACCTGGTCTTCTGGAGAGGACATGGTTTCCACACCCAAGCCACATACAGTGCTGTGAGAAACCAAAGCAAATGTCACATAAAAGGATGCTGACGCACCAGGAGTCTCAAATGATCGGTGTGGCTCCATGACCGTGTATGTGAGTGTGGATGGCGCGGGGGCCACTCCACCAGAGCTGACACGGGAAGAAGAGCCTTTATGAGAAGGAGCTGGGAATTTGGTAGGGACCATAGTTAAAGTCTGTAGGGAAGGGAGCAACTGCATGGGTACAGGAAGTGGCAGGCGGACAGGGATCACCTTGGAACTACATAGGACCTATCATAAAGCAGAGCCTCTAGCTGCAGGTCCAGTCCTAGAAGACTGAGACTTTGCCAGCGTGATGGGGAAAGGAGTCCACGGAACACGGACCCACACACGTGACTACACCACAGTTCCCTTAGAAGACACAACTTCACACAGGGGTAAAGAGCTGAAGAAAGTGCCTGCAGCTCAAGGGCTTATGGGCCTGGCATCCTGAGCACATGCTGCCAGGGCCCTGCTGCAAGGAGGTCAGTTCTTGGTTGAAGAGACTGGGCTGATCTCCTGACTCCCTCGAATGTAAGGTAGGTTGGAACAGCTGCTTCACTTACCTCCTGGGCCTTTCCGGTCAGAGTAGGAAGTATACTAAAAATATTTTTTTAAGGTAACTACAAAATCAAAGTTGTCTTTGTTGATGATCCTCTGACTATCAGCTATCAGAGAATTCTTCTGGAAAGACAGGAAGAGACGACTAGCCTTCAGAGAAGCAGGTCTAACTGGATCTTCTTGCATGAGGCACTGGTTAAGAGCTGTCCTGCAAATGGCTCCAAGTCAAGAAGTTGCTAAGCCCAGGGCATGGGCACGGAGAAGAGCTGTGGGTGTGAGAGAGAGAAAGGCCCCATCTCTGTAGTCAAGGAACCACATTGGTTCTTTACTGGCCACAGGACTTTCTAGAAGGTCAGGGATCAAATTTAGAAAAAGAACCTTATTTCCCCATTGAAGTGAAAACATTCAGAAGTGACTTTTCTGCAAAACTGCACACAAAAATTTAGTCCACAAAAATCTCACTCGACATGAATGTCCTGGGTGTAATTTTCCTGGGAACAATTCAGCTATGTTGACCTGCTGTTTAGTTGCTTCCCTAGGGAAATATTTTCCACATTTAAATTCCAGTTCCAGAACACTGGCTCCCCTGGAAATAGGGGGCTCTGTCTCAGAGTAGCCAAGGGGATATGTGGCAGGGTGGAGAGAAATAGGAGTGGGCTGTACAAGGATAGACAGTGAGGGGCACACATGGCCATGCTAACTCCAGAAGGGACCTTTTAGCTATTCTGTTCTGACATAAGGCTCCAAACACAGAGAACTAACCTGATAACAAATCTCTCCGTGCAAGGCTAGGCGGGGCCTCGGTATCATCGACCTTTAGGTAAAGTTATTCCGAAAGAAGACATATTTTCAATTCATCCTGAAACACTAGTGCAAAGCCATGTTCCTGAAGTGTAGCAACTGGGGAAGGCTGGGCAGGTTAGCAAGACTCCCGTCTGCAAACCAGATGTGAAAGACTAGGTGTGGGAGGGGGAGAAAAAAGAAATGAAGAGTGGAAATTAAAAGCCTAAAGTTAGCTCCATTTATTTTCCTAGAAACCACAGAGCCCCCAGCAATGTGAATAAAAATAACAGGGGATAAAATATTAAGAGTCCACTATAAACACACACACGCACACATGCACACACACAGAGACTGCTCATGGCCATCATACACTTGTCAGTCAGTCATCCTGAGGCTGCTTGGAAGATGCGTGTGGGCTGGTGCTTAGGGGACCATCTTGCCTCAATTTGCCAGGCATTGCTTGGCTTTTTGCTCTGAAAGACCTAATCCTGGGAGGCAAACAGTCCTGGGACAACGGTCCTGGTCATCCTAGCTGGCTCTCCAAGAGCTGGGGAACTGGAACTATATTCGGGAGGCCTGGGCAGACATTGCCTGACAGGATCACAGCCTTAGCCAAGCTTGTCCCCCAACAAAGAAAGTAACCTTTCACTAAACAGGCTCAAGGACTGAAACCTGGCCCTGTTTATTTTTGTTCCAAAATTTCCAAAGGTCTCTGTGAAGCTGCCTTTAGTTCTCAACTCAGAAACACGCAACTGGACTGGACAGTTCTGACAGCTCCTTACTGTCTGTTTTCAGAAAGAACTCTGATGTCAACTTTTATTTATTAATTTTCCTTACTAAGCACTTGCAAATATCCCCACTTAAGAAATTAAATGAATACCTACGCCTGCTGGCAGGCAACTTCTCGACGTGACAATGATCCTAATGCATTTGCTGCTCCCTCTGAAATCCTGAACTTTTGTTTGCCTCTTCCTGCTGAGTTCACATTAGTAATCTGGTTACAAAATAAAACCAAGAAAGAAAGGCATCACCTCTCCACAGCATGCAGTGAGCAGAGTACTGATCAGTCCCGCAGCACATGTCTGGAACCAGGGAGCCTGTGGACTCAAGGCAGAGTATGGGGGTCCTGCTATACATTTCTGAGCAGGAATCAAAAGTCCTTTGGAAAAAACTAGAGCTGTGAGGAAATTAAAATCTTGATTCTGGTGCTGGAGAGATGGCTCTGTGGTTAGGAGCACTGTCTGCTCTTCCAAAGGTCCTGATTGCAATTCCCAACACCCACATGATGGCTCACAACCGTCTATACTGTGATCTGGTGCCCTCTTCTGGTGTGCAAGTGAACATGAAGATAAAGCCCTCATATACATAAAAATAAACAAATATTTTAAAAGTCTTGATGCTATATAAAATCCAGCTACCAAGCCTCAGAGAAGAGAGACCTAACTTGGACAAGGTCACAGAGTACTGAGTGCTTCCTTGTTGGGAAGGAACCCTCTGGGTTTGACTGTGAGCCCAGAACAAGCCAGTATATGCTGAGAAGAGGGACGGTCAGCTGACAAGGGAAGATCAGCTGATTAGGAAGTGAGCTGCTAGGTGTTCCACTGGGACCGATGCCATCTTATCAGTTCCCAGGACAAGACAGGTCCCCATGAGGAAAGGTGGATGTCTCGCCCTACAACTGGCAAAGCAAGCAACCAGCCAGCCCACCCTACCTGGAGCCCCCTGGGTTCTGTTCACTGTGCCAGCAGAGAGCCACGAGCAGGCCTCCCTTCACAGTGCCTTGGGCAAGAGGAGGGCGATGGCCAGATATCAGAGCTAGTTTGAGTGTTTGCGCAAAGTGCACAGAAATAGGTTGCAACAAGGAGGGCAGAGGGCAGGATAGAGAAGCAGCTATGACTGCAACAGCGGGTCTCCGCTTAAGGTGCACACACAGGCACATGCTCGCAAGCGCAGACACACATGCTCTTGTATGATTCCTCAACATTCTGAAATTCTTCACTTTTGAAATGATCAGTCTCTTTTTGCTAAAAACACTGGCTTTCCAAACAGTATTGTGGGGCTTCATCAAAACTCATAGGTATGTATGTAAAATTAATTCAGGAGCAAAGAGGTTTTGCTAGCACAGTATGAGGTCCCCAGAATGAGGGCAAGGCATCTGTCCATGAGGAGGCTGTTTCCTTCTTTGCTCAGACAAGAAGCCAGTCTGAGGTGAAGTTGGCTTCATGGGTGCAAGTCTCTGGTTGCTGAAGAGACTCGGGTTATCCTAGCTGTTGCTACTGATCTTCGGAAATGGCTGAGAAACTACTGGATGATAAGAAACCATCATGGAGCAAGCATCTCTTGCTACAAATCCTGTGCTTGGTGGAATTTTCACACTGCACAGATACTATGTGACAAATTCTGATGCTGTTCAGCAGAAATTCCACCTTCTCCCAAGTGGCCCATTTGAGTGTCTCAGACACCAGAGTGGCCGCTAGGGAGGAACGGTTCCACTGTGCAACCACAGGCTTGTGCTGGGGCCAGCTTGGGTGTTTCCTCAAATCTCTAAAGTATCCTAATCATAAATAAAGCTAAATGGGACCTTGGAGACCATCTTGCCAAACCCCTTCCTTGTTCACAGAAGGAAACTGAAGCCTACAGAGGTCAAGTGGCTTGCCCAAGGTCAACAAAATGCTGCTTCATTTTTCTGGACCCGTGGGGTCTGTAGTAACTATCTCTGAGTAGTTGAAATCCTTCTGCAGGCATTGTTTTATGAGGAACAGCCCCACTGGGCCCAGTCAGCAATAAGTCTTTGGAGCTGTCTCAGGCTGCAGTTGCTTTATATAAACTATCCCTTTTATGGGAGTTGAAGCACAGTATGAAAAGAGTTTTTGTCTCATGTTGACCTTGTTTAGTCACATTAACGCGCACATCAGTTCCAGGACCCATTCCATTCTCCGAACATCTTCGGACACGCTGACAGTGTGAGCAGAGCTAGGCTGGGCTTACTCCACAGGCCCTGCATCCAGCTGCTGCTACTCCCAGCCCGGGCTCTCCACCTCTGATCAGAACTTGCCCACTGGAACCAGGGACACTGCCTGAGTCCAACCTCCGTGTCTATTTTCCAGAAAACGGGCAATGCTGTGAGAGCCATTGGAAGACTGTCCTCTATGGCAATGATATCAGGGCTCAGTGGTAGGAAATCCTCGACAGGATCACCGACCAGCCCCATCAATGCAGAGAAACTAGAGTCTGAAGGTAAGGGGGCACGGTGTTCCACCCGCGAGAGGGAAAGAGTTGCTGGGAAAGGAGCATTTTAAGAATCTAGGGTTTAGTTTGGGTTTTTAATACGCTCTATAGTGACAAGTTCAAAAGGACTTTTGGGGTTTCCCTGACAACTATTAACTCTAGTAATTATTCTTTAATTGTTAACTATTTTCAGAGGAAAGGCTATTATTTGTTTGATGGAACTAGATGATCGGCTTCCTTTGCCCACATTTTGTGGAAGACTTGAGAAAGGCTTTATTAAGAGCTTTCTTTTTTTATTATAAAAATGAGAATTTTTTTTGTATACTGATAGACAAGAATAAATAAAATAAAATCACATATGCTTACATAATATTTTAAAAATATCTTTTCAATTTCCGCTGCCTTATGCTTTTGTTTTAAAGAAAAATTAACTCATACAGGCCAGATTCCATGACAGCAATGTGCCACTGAAACATGTGTGACCTGGGCTGATGGGTCAGTAGGCCCCTCCCAGAACTGATGGAGAGAGCTGCTTGCTACTACTTGCAGGAGCTACCCCGGCCATCTCCACAGTGAAGGCCCTGGCCTCTTGGTACTTTAAACATGCATGAGGATGCCCTCATGTTCTTGAGCCATATACCACCCATACCCACTGTGAGGGAGCTTCTGCTACCCACAGGTGGGAAACTGAGTCTAGAATTGTTTTGTGCACAAGGTAGGGCAGCTGGCTGCTCTGGAACATTCTCCTAGCTGCAGCATTTCTGTTGCTCCTCTGGGTGAGCCAGAAATAGTCTAAAGGGACAGGGAAAGACACAGAACCTCCTCCAAGGCTTGGTTTTGTTTTGTTTTTGTTTTTGTTTTTTCCTGGACCTATCTTACACCCTAGTCTGCAGCTGTGTACCTTGAAGGCTATATAGGTGGGGCAAAGAGAGCTCTGGAGAGTTACAGTTGTTTTGCAGCTTTCTCAGAAGCTGGTGACGGGCCTGCCACAAAATGAAGACCAAGGGTACCAAGACCAGAAAAGTGGTGGATTCTGTCCTTCTCACACCCTCAACCAAGTCCGGAAGACCATGAAGTTCAGCCAAAAATCCTTGTTAAAGATGACTTTCTTTTTCAGTGTGTCAGCATCAGGGAAGGGGGAGGCTGAGCAGTTCCCTCTTTTGGGCACAGTGCTCTCTGCTGCCAAAAAGCACTTGGCAGGGAGCCAGTTCATCTCAGGAGAAAGTCGCGCTATGACTCACTTCCCGAAGCTGCACTGTTCGCTAAATTCCAGCAACTTTAAAAGAGAAAGAAAGAAAGGGAGAGGCAGACAGACAGACAGACCTTTTAAGTCCAATGAGAGAACAGGAATAAAGAAATGACCTTTTGATCTTCTAGAAGATGTCTCCCAGGCTTTCCTCGAGGCCGTTGCTGAGGAGAAGCCCCATGTAAAGCCCTATTTCTCTAAGACCATTCGGGATCTGGAAGTCGTGGAGGGAAGTGCTGCTAGATTTGACTGCAAGATTGAAGGTAAGCTGTGGCCCGTCCCTCCTTGCTATACATGGGGATGGCTACACATGGAACCCTGGGTAAGATGTCAGGCCTGCACTGCCCTGAGTGATGGGAATAGCCAAACCCAAAGCAACACTGGTCCAAAAGGGCCAGTTTCTGCTCGTCCAACCTCCTGAGGGCTAGTGCTACTCAGTGACTTCCCCACAGGCCAGTTCACTAGACCTATATTTATATGAGCTACCATGGACCTCCTTAGTTGTAGGACACACATAACAGGAACTTTGCAAACCACTGAGAAGCTTTCAGGTTGCCCGTAAGAGGCTCTGGAAGGACAGTTGGCACAAAAGTCTGACGGCTGGTGTCAGCCAGCTCAAGTGCTTGTCATCACGATGTGTGACCTTGGTTGGTAATCAATGCAGCTGAGTGGAGGCCACTCATTTGTTCAATGATACCCAACATCTGGAGTGGCCCTAGGGGTCCTGTGGGGCCACATGTGTGAAAGTAAAGACCTGGTAACTCTTTGAAGAGGTTTCGGAGCTAAGAGGAAAATGGTAGGTTGGTAAGAACAAGGGAGAAGGTGCGCAGGAGTGTGTCATAAGGAGAGTCGGGACCCCCTCCTAGTGTGTGCTCTGCTCCTTGTTTGATGTCTCCACACTCTTGTGTAGGGTCTCTGTTCCTAGGAGTGATGCATCCACATAGCAGTGAGTGATCCAAGAACAGCGACCTTAGGGATCAAAGAACAGGACCCAAGAAATGCACAAGGCTGGTGACAAGGGCCTTTCTGTTCCAACAGATTGCAACATTCTAAAAAGATATGGGGCAGGATGAGACGGGCCTCTCAGCTTCAAGGCTGTGCGCATGTGTGCCAACAAAGCAGAGGGTTATCTCCCATTGCGGTCTGACCAAGCCTGAAACCTCACTAAGCAGCCTGCACGAGGTCACACCGCCCAGCGTGGCAGCCAGAGCGAGCCATGTCTTGTGCTTTTGTGACTCCCCAGTACTGGGACTCTCTGTGCCTTTTGAGTAAAGTAACCTGATATTAGGTTTCCTTTCATCATCTTCTTTAAAAAAAAAAAAAAAAAAGGATGTTTTTATAACAAAGAAAAGGGAGAGCAGCCGATTCAGGAAAGGCTCTAACATGAAATTATTACATAGCTGAGTGGTAGAGAGAGCAGTTGCCTGGCATGTGTGAGGCCCTGAGTCCAGTCACCTATACCACACACACACACACACACACACACACACACACACACACACAAAAGCGCATATACACACACACTGACTAGCATGAGAGTTTTTTAGGAGTGAGGGCTTGTTGGCCTGCCATGGTCAGGCCTTGAGGTAAGAGAACTTAGGAGCATGGTGAGAACGTTTAAGAGAGCTGCTTAAAGTAAAAGAGTGTGAGGGACAGTTGTCATGCACAGTGTGGGTGTGGGTGGAGGTGGCAAAATGCCAGAGGCCTCTCCTGAGCAAAAGAAACACTAGACTTTTAGAAGTTCTGTGAGGCTGGCGGGAGGTTCTGCACCGTGCCTGGTCCTGTCAATGTGACTTCCATACTTGAAGCCAGTTACTCCGTATGAGCATTCATTTCTCCTGTGGCTTCCAGGGGAGGGGATACAAGGCCAAAGCACAGCACAACTTAATTTAGAGTGCGTGCGTGCGTGCGTGTGTGTGTGTGTGTGCGTGCGTGTGTGTGTGTGTGTGTGTGTGTGTGTGTGTGTCACTGCAATCAGCATCTTAAAGTTGCAAGCCCATGGTCTCAGGGATCTCACAGGTCTCCAGTGGTGATGAGCAGGTCCTGGCCCTGAGGATTCCGCTGAAAGCACTGGAGCAAGGCCAGTCACAGAGACCTTCGCTGTTGTCACTGGGTCTCCTGAGGTTTTTTTTTTTCCCCTTTGAAATTTGGAATGTGGAAATTTGAAATCATGACAGCGTGGTTATCATCTGTTGTTCTTTTCTCTTTGAAATGATCTCCTTGGTATTTGCATAACTTGTGACTATAACCCTGATGCAAAACTAAAGCATATGGACGCTGTTCTGATAAAAACAAAATGACACTTGAAAAGAACACTAGAATTTTTGAGCTATGTGTATAATTTTTATACTGCCAGGGGCTACAGTTTTCTTCATCTAAGAATACCTCTACAAAATTTAGAAACAAGACATTGTAATACATTGCATATTTAAAGATACACATAAGCAAAGTTGGTGGCTGATGTTTACACACAATTCTAAAATATATAACGCACATACATATATATATATATATACATACATATATGTACATGTTTTTATTCCATATATTTTTAACACTGACCTCTATAGAGTTTGTAACATAAAAACAACCAATGGGACTCATCCCTAGAAACAGACAAACAAATTACCTGCGCAGGGATCAGAATAAGATAGGTTTCTTTTTCTCAGAAATCTTGCCAGTTCCTCAGCCTGTTGTTTTATATACACATTAACTGCTGTATGCAGTTAATATTTGTATATCATAAATTAATCCATTCTAGGTTTACAAGTAAACTATTTTCCCAAATCCTATCATGGAACAACTTATCACAACTCAATTTTAGAATTTATGCAACTCCAAAAAGACCTCTTGAACCTGTTTTGTTTTGCCTTCTTAACTTTTAACTCAAATTTAAGCTAAGCTTGTATATGTTTAATTTTAACACATTTTCCTTTCATCAAGAAGCTGTCTAGCCTTAGTTGTTAGAATTTGGACTGTCTTTCTGGAGTGCCCCGTATGACGTCATCTGACAGTAAGGCATTGTAAGTGTCACTGACAATTCACGGTGCACACCTGTGATCTCAGCACTCAAAAGGCAGAGGCAGGGGGGCGGAACGTTGGAAACTAACCTGGGCTTCATACCAAGACCCTGTCTCAAACAAAAACAAACTTAGACTATTCTATTTGAGGTTTCAGAAATGAGTCTTTGCAACATATGTCTGTGCTCTAGCATAAATATGGAAATATATCCTAGGAGCCACCATCGTGTTTTAACCAACAGAGGCAGCTTCAGAGCCACTTGACTGAGTTAATAAGAGTTTCGGATTACAGATTCTGCAATTTGTGTTCTCTCCCTGGGATGCAGGGTACCCGGACCCTGAGGTTGTCTGGTTCAAGGATGACCAGTCAATCAGGGAGTCCCGCCACTTCCAGATAGACTATGATGAAGACGGAAACTGCTCTCTAATCATCAGCGATGTCTGTGGGGACGATGATGCCAAGTACACCTGCAAGGCCGTCAACAGCCTCGGGGAGGCCACCTGCACTGCAGAGCTCATCGTGGAGACCATGGAGGAGGGGGAGGGGGAAGGGGGAGAGGAAGAGGAGGAGGAGGAGGAGGAGGAGGAGTGAAGCAAAGCCAAACAGAGGCAGTTACTAGGTCATTTTAAAAGGACTAATTCCTTAAAGCTCAAAAAAACCCAAGCTAGAAAAGGCACCTAGTGTGGTAGATTATCTAGTTAGGCCATTTAGAGGTTGTTCTGCCGACAACAGCGGTTGATACCTAGCAGTGTTATTGACGGGCATTAATTTGAATTAGATAGCACCTTAAAACCCTAGTGCAGCTAGTTTCCATTTGGGGGAAATCACCAGCAACTTGTCTAATCGATTTGATTTTAAAGAGAAAATAGCTAAGAGAAATATTTACCCAGAAGAAGTCAGACATTAACTGAATGTACCCTGAAAAATAAAGCCCCCATCAGGGCTCATCCTGTTGCAGCTCAGCCCGGCTTCCCTGCAGATAGACTGTCTTCTCCGCAACCCCCCCCCCCAACCCAGAGAACCAGTCTTGTCCCATCCTGCCGTGTCTCATTCTGACGCAGGAGGCATTCTGCCTTCCTACACTTGCAATCCCCCCCCCCCCGGTTTCTCTCCCTATTCCACCTGCCGGCTCTCCTGGCTCTAAACCTGGCATGAGTTGCAGCAATGAGGACATTAATTATGTTTCCTTCATCCTGAAAACAGGTTCCCTGCTCATGGATGACTCTGGCTTCCTGGGGGAGGAAATCTCTCCTCTGAAATCCTTAGGAAACTAAATTTACTCTAATTTCTGAGCGTCTGGCAGTTTCAGACATTTGCATGAGAATCCATGAAGAAAACAGAATATCCTTGCCGATGTGGTTTTTTTTCCCCCTTAAATCATGATGCATATTTGTGCCATTAACAAACTGTCAGTCTGCGTATGCAGTAAAGATCTGTGCATCTGGACGTAGAAAGACCAGTTTGCTGAAATGCTGGTTTTAATTATTTATTGGGCACTATGAAACTGATTTCAAGTGGTGAGCAACCGTAGAACTCAGTGTGCGTGGCTGTCTCCTTCTAGACAGTCTGAGTTTAATACATCTTCATTCTCGACACTCTTCAAAGACCTTGGCCTGCCTTCTGGGGTCCACCCTTATTTTCTTTCTTCAATGTGCATTTGCTTTGTCTCCAACCTTGAGCTATATTCTTAAACTTGATCAGTGCACACAGACTTGCATCCTTAGCAATTTTTACTTTCTTTCACTTCATTGGCACTTAATTTTTTTCCCTTGTAAAACTTTTTGAAGGTCATAAACAAAGACCATAAACTGATATCCTAGTACGTTTCCTCTGTGTGTATGTGTATGTAACATTCCAAATACTATTTTCTTTTCCACTGTTTGTAAAGTGCATCAAATTAATTATTTTAAAGGATATTTAGTAGTTCCTTAAAAAAATCAATTTTAAATTACTTCTGTGCAATCCTACACAGTACCAACATTAGAAATTTGATATTTTTTAGTCTTCTTATCCATCCTACTTTAGCTGCTAAATTGCCAGTACTTTTCATTTTTTGCTTCTTAAGCAGTTACAGTATCTTTCATTATAGCCACAGTATTGCCACGGTTTATTATAATAAAGGGGTTTTAACTTGATTTAGAGCATTCAAAGTGTTTTTCATCACTTTTGTGTTTATATTATAATCTTCGTGTGTATGTCGTGTTTATGTGTGCATGGGTGGTTATACATGTGTTTATAGGTTAATGCCTTCTTGGGATTGTGTTAATGTTCTCTCAATTTATTATGCCATACAAATGGTGACCGAGAATGCTACGACTGTAGTTAGCTCACAATTTTTAAATAAAGGATACCACAGTGCATGGTGTTTGTTCAATCTTGGTAGACTTCTCTTTTTTTCCATCACTAACTGAAGAGTCTGTGGATTCATGGTGGTGATTACAGCCAAGCACTGTGCTCATAACTGTGAAGAACTGGCTTATAGAGCCGGGGGACATCTCATCTGGTAAAGTGCTTGCACAGAATTGAGTTGAGATCTTTGGCACCTGTGTCAAAGCCAGGTTCAGCAACGGGCAGGTTAAGGCAGAGACAGGAACCTTGCTGGTTAGCCAGCCTAGCCAATCAGTGAGCTCTTCAAAATAAAATAAAAAACAGGATGGAGAGCAATTAAAGTAGACAGTGGACATCAACCTATGGCTGGCACACAAACACACACACATGAATTGGCTTACACAGTTGTGCTTGATCTAGGACCAAAATTAAGATAGCTCTTGGGTTTTTTGTTTTTGTTTTTTGTTTTGTGGTTGTTTTGGTTTGCTTTGGTTTTTGGTTTTTTGAGACAGGGTTTCTCTGTGTAGCCTTGGCTGTCCTAGACTCGCTTTGTAGACCAGGCTGGCCTCAAACTCACAGAGATCTTCCTGCCTCTGCCTCCTGAGTGCTGGGATTACGAGCATGCACCACCACACCTGGCTGATAGCTCTTGTTCTTACAGATGACATAATTTACACATTTAGTTCAAAGTCTCAAGCAGAAGTTTTGTGTCACCTCATTAGGAAGGATTTTAGTTTTAGAACTGCTGCTTGTTTGGGATTTTTAACAGTAAGTCTTACCTATAGTTTAAGTTCTCTCACATTGCAGAATAGTCTTCATATTAGAGGCTATGTCCCTGTGAGTTTCTGTGAGACCTCTGATAAATTTTCACATGATACCATTTGACTCTGTTGAACTAAGTTTTCCTCTTTTATAACTGAAGAAGAGGGCTACAAGTTAAGTCATCTTGCGCAGTCACATTGATGTCTGTTAGGCAGACGTCATGATCTCCAGTTAGGAGTTAGGTTGCTCTAGGGTAGCGGTTCTCAACATTCCTAATGCTGCAACCCTCTAATACAGTTCTCATGTTGTAGTGACCCCAACCATAAAATTAATTTCATTGCTACTTCATAACTGTAATTTTGCTGCTGTCATGAATTGTAATGTAAATATCTGTGATCTCCATAGGGGTCGAGACCCATGGATTGCAGCCTTGTTTCAGGGGTATGTTAGCAAAAGATATTCCCAAATTAAGTTCATCAAACATTCATTAGCAAATAATCATACTGTCAGTTGGCGTGGTGGCCTATACCTTTAATCCCAGCACTCAGGAAGCATAGGCAGGCAGATCTCTATGAGTTTGAGGCCAGTCAGTCCAGCCAGGACTACATAGGAGACCCTTTCTCAAAAAGCAAACAAATAATAATCATACAGTCTCTAGAAAGTTTCTTGCGTGTTCACTCGTAACTTCAGGGATCCTCTCTGCAGTCACTCTTTAAAGGCAAATGCTTGCAAGATACTCAGATAGGACTTAACTGGTCAGTCAGACAAGTGGAACTATTTTCCACATGGACTATCCTAAGAACTTACCGGTCTGACTCACCCACACATCCTACTCCTTCTAGAAAAGCTGCTACTTGCTATTGTTGACAGCTTGTATCTCTGTTTCACCATTTAGTAAATTAACACAATAATAGCTCCTCATTCATGAGCTGATGTAAAGAGTAACTGAGCTCATGCACAGTCCCTGAGTCTGTGAAAGCCCCTGTGCTGGCACACGGGTTTATGCCAGGAGCCCTCTCCACCCTGAGGGATCTGATTGTATACCCGTGGAAACAAAATGAATATTTGAAAAGCTATGAAAGGTAGAAATATTATATATATACACACATACATACATATGTATACGTATATTCTGCCCCAAGGAAGGATCTTATGACATTAAAATCCCCTTAAGAAGAAGCATTGACTTTACCTATAGTGCCGGCTAGTTTTATGTCAGCTGGACACAAGCTTCAGTCATCAGAGAGGAGGGAGCCCCAGCTGAGAAAATTCCCATACAATCCAGCCCATAGAGCATTTTCTTTTTTAAATTTATTTTATTTGACGTGCATTAGTGTGAAGGTGTCAGATACCTTGGAATTGGGGTTACAGCCAGCTGTGAGCTGCCATGTAGGTGCTGGGAATTGACCCCGGGTCCTTCGGAAGAGCAGACTGTGCCCCTAACCACTGAGCAATCTGTCCAGCCTGGAGCATTTTCTTAATTAGTGATTGATGTGGAGGAGCCCGGCCTGTTGTGGATGGTGCACCCCTGGGCAGTGGTTCTGGGTTCTAAAATCAAGCAAGCTGAGCAAGCCACTGAGCAGCATTCCTCCATGGCTTCCGCTCCTGCCTCCACATTCTGCTTGAGTTCCCGCCCTCACTGCTTTTGATGATGAGCTGTGAGTGAAATAAACTCTTCCTTCCGCAAGTTGCTTTTGGTCACAGTGCTTCATTGCAGCGATAGTAACTCTTGTTAGGTTCCTACCGGCTGCAGGGCATGGCTGGCATTCCCTGCCCTCTACCCCTTTCTCTCCTCCTCCTCTTTCCCTCCTCTGTGTCTTCTCCTCTCTCTCTCTGAGTGAACCTCTTCCCTCTCTCCCTTTCCCTACCCCTCCCATTCTGCTTCCAGTAAACCTACATTTATTTAATATAGCTTCATCTCGCCATTAGCTCGTTCTCTTTTATTTAATCAATTAACCCTGACTAAGACACCTATGCAACTGCATAAAAATAACTTCTAGGAGTAAGTGATGCTCCAACTGCTCTATTGAAGTTTAATAGTGTCCAAGCTCTTCCTTTTTCATCCTTGAAGGATTAGAGTGTATCTAACCTTATGAGTCTTCTTTCCAATCAGCAGTTTTCTCAGCTTGACTTTAATCAATTTAACCTTTACCCCCTCCTAAATTCCCTGCTTTAATTGCTATTTACAAAAGCAAATTCACATTCATTTGCTTCTGTCTGCATATTAACCACAGAGCAAACAGGTTACTATGCAGAGGAAAAGGCTAAGTACGAATCTTTTCAAAGTTGTCTAGAAAGCTCAAAACAGAGACTTCTATTTTCTGGGGTACTGGAAGATGAAGAGTTTCAGAAATAGGAAGTCACCAGAGTAAGGAAAAGGATAAACATGAGCAGTTAAGCATGAGCAGATATTCTACACTCCTCAGAACCTCCGCTGAACTGCTCATAGAGAGACACAACTTTTAAAGCTGAAATCTCTTGGGATAGGAAATCTATCAGAAGTTTGGATGGTGACAGTAACTATCTGTAGAGAGGGAAGCCATAAGAGAAAAGTAAGTTTATCAAGCATTTGAACTCCCTCTCACCTCTCCCAAGCCAAGGAAATATTTGTCCCCTGAGAGTTCACAAAGGACTAGCAGCTGGTGAAGCCGGGTACCTGTGACAGGGAGACTCCTGTGGACGGTGCAAAGCCAAGCCTTCAAAGCCAAAACCAAAAGTCCAATGAGAAGAATAAGGCAAAGGAAGGGGTTTCTGGTAATTAGGCTAGATATGACGGGAGACCCCAGGTACTGAGCTTGAACACTTCAGGGGCATCCACACCAAGGGCAGAAAAGACCTTTGCCCTAGAGAGATGACAACTGCTTGATGGTGGCATTTTTAAGGCGGGTTGACTTCCGTAACTTGGTTGTTCCAGAGCTGAATCAGTTAGGTGTCCATGACAACAGATGAGTGTCATGCTCATTACCTAGAGCAGAGTCTGTTGGGCTCCATTTCCTCTAACCACAACTCTCATTCTCCCTGTAACGTGAACTAACGAAGGGCCACATACTTCTGTTCCCAGTAAGTCAAGTGCATACCAAGAGTCAATAGGTTTGTCCGTAGACTGCCTAATGCCATTTATACATGTCATTTCGGTTACATAATTTAATTATTACATAAGGCAGCAACAACTGTAGTGGTGAGGAGGAGGGCGGGTGTTTCTGTGGGAGCTAAACTGAGAGTGCTAGTCATGCCTGGCTCAAGGAACACCTGTGTTACCCCTCAGACCTCCCAAAACTGTGCAAAATCAAAGCAAAGGAACAAAAGGCATAAAACCACAAGGGCAAAGGATGAGAGGAAAGGAAAGATGATCGTTACATAAAAATTACAGGTCAGTGGTTTGGTCCAAGTTCCAGCACGAGTCCCCACAGGCCAAGCTAAAAAAAAAAAAAAAAAAAAAAAAAAAAGACTTGAGTCATTCACCCTAGCATCTGAGGCAACCAGACCTCAACAAATCTATTTAATTGGGAAACTGAGCTGTGCATGTAGCCCCATGGTAGAGCACTTACCTAACATGAAAGGTTCTGGGACCAAACCCCAGCACAATTAATTAGCTGACTAATTAAAATGTACCTAAAGTAAGCTGACGTTAAACAATCCATTATTTTTATTGCTCAATCTTCCTCTCCCTAAGTTAAAAAAAAAAAAGCAATTTTTTGCTTTTGTTTTTACTTTCTTCAGCCTTTTTCCATCTATTAGACCCATCTCTTCTGCTCAGTGTTGGTCAACTCTATACATGAAGGCAAAGCCAGTGGAGACCCATAGACTGACCTGTAGTTTTTTATATGTATAAATGCACATATATGTGTGTGTCCCCGTGTGGAGTGAGGGCAGAGGTTGATATCATGTGTCTCCTTTAAATTGTTTTCCCCCTTGCTTTTGAGACAGAACAACTCACTGAATCTGGAGTTCACTGATTGGCTAGACTCGTTGGCCAACAAGCGCCTGAGCTCTGCCGTGTCCACTCCTCAGAGCTAGGACTATAAACATGCATTACCACATCCTGCTGATTATGTGGGTGGTGGGAATACAAACTCAGGGTCTCTTGCTTACAGAACAAGCACTTTACTGACTGAGCCATCTCTCCAGCTCCCTAAATTGTAGGCTTCAATTGTTAACAAAATTACAGAATAGGCAAACTGGGAATTAATATAAAATTTCTACTCTGTTGTTGTCAACAGAGATAAAAAAAAAAATCACTTCAGAAAGCAAAGTGATTCCAAACACAGAATTACCAAAGCAGTG